AAAAAATAACATACACGATCAATTCCAATGAAAGCACTCAAAACAATGTAATTTAAAATAGCGAAAAGGTGATTACAAATGAATTATTTCTCTAGTACTCTCAAGTATATTTAATATTCTCATGTATAATGTCAAGAATTTAACACATGCGCAAGGATGCAAGGGAGTGTGTGAGAGGCACCAAGGGTGAGGGTGTGCAAGAGATGGGATGCAGGTCAGGGAGGGTGTACAAGGGTACAAGGGGCTGCATGACAGGTATGGTGAGGATGGAATCCTCTTTGGATTGCTGAAAGGACTGCACTGTAAGCAGGAGCTAAGTAGGGGTATCCTACCCCACCTGTCTGTTGAGAGACAGCTTGTTAATTTTAACGCAGATAGCCTCCCTAACTCCTTTTGCAAACTAGTGCTCCTCTCTATCCAGAATGGGGCCTTGGAATGGCCCTTTTCTTTCAAGTGCAGAAGAATTGTTTAATACTGTCCCAGTGCATTGATTCTGTTTTGTGTCATGCATTTGTGTAGTGGTTGTTTTATGTCCCTAAAATTGAACAGCCCCCCTCTCAATAGAGGGGGAGAAATAGGAAATTACTTAGCTCCTGTTTACAGTGCAGCCCTTTCAGCAATCACAAGACTCATTTGCACTCTGATTCAGGTAACTGAGGAAACAGATTCACCCCCAGGAGTTTTCAAGGACCCTCAGATGTTAATAACTGGCTGACTGCAAAGAGTATAAATCCTTTCCATTCCTCACCAATTAGTTAGAACTCAAAAAGCTTCTTAGATGAAAAGTGAAACCTTTAAGAAAATCAAGATGGTCCAGTTGGTGTTTGGGGGAGGAAAAAGCACCTTTTGGGACATGTAAAGCAAGCACATCCTTTTTCAAAATATTTTAAGCTTCATATACCATACAGTTAAAATAAAACTTTTAATTTATCTTATCAATACCTTTCATGAATGCATCAGTATTTCTTCCTGACCTTCTTAATGCTTCAGAGTCAGTAGAATATGCTGTCTTTATTACTTTTTCAGGAATAAAACATAATGTTGCAGATACACTAATAATAAAATGCATTTTAGCTAACATAAAATTATCCATGATTTTTGGTTCACATGCTACAGTCCATGATGAATGTATAGGCCTGTTAAAAACTTCTTCCAATACCTTGTAAATTAAAAAAAAACATTTTATGACAAATAATTTTCTTTTAAAGAATACACATGTAATATTTATTTTTAAGTAAAAGAAAATACCTTTCTTTGAGACCAAATTAAAATCTAGCAAAGACATTGGGAATGAAACATTTCATGCAATTTCCATCTTCCTTATATATCTACTTCCTCCATTTAAAATATGACCTTATATGAATTCAACCAAACTCATTTATGCTGAAGAATCACAAATGTAACCATTCATATCAGTACTGACTTAAAATAATGTTAAGATTATGAATTACAAGGAATCTTATAGGCCATCTGCCCCAATCCTTTTTACTTGAAGAAATTCACTAAGCACATCTGCTAGGTGGCCTTGCAGCCCATTTTAAAACCTCTAACAATGAGATTTCATTGCTTAAGCTTTTATTGTCAAGAAATTTTGTCTAAATATTCCTTCTTTTCAAATGTCAGTATATTAATCATTGTCCTGCTTTCAGTTTCAACAAAGAACAGTCCATCTCCTTTTTAAAAAGATATTTATGGCAATTCTTAAATCTTCTGCTATGCAAACTAATATGCCCAACTCAAGCATATCTGTTAAACCTCTGCTCCATGAGCTGCATTTGTTACCAGTTTACTTCTGAGTCCGATTCAGGATGCTGGTTTAACTTCACAGCAGGGAGCCAGGTTGAGAAACTGTCTCTGCCTAAATACATCTACTTGTTCCATCAAATCCAGCAGAAGAGATATGATGCAGCAGGAGTCATCTGCAAAGGAGCTACATCTGGGGAGACCTGGGAGTCTTTTCTGGCACAGCAGCTGCCCAAACTAAGACTGGCACCACCCCGTCATCCTTCCAAAACTGCTCAAAATATGATTATGTCAATAGGCTTGGGGATCTTAAAGATCATGATGGACTAGTGAGGTTGCTGTACTGTTTTAACATTGAATTCTTTCAACTACTCTGTTAATAGTAAATATTGATGATTTTTTAAAATTGTTTTTAATATTGCTTACTTTATGATTTGTTTTTTATTGTATGCCGCCCAAAATCTTGTCTTATGAGATGGGTGGCAATATAAACATGATGAGTGAGTGAGATAGAATGAAGAAGGGCATTAATTATTTGAAAGCGCTTTTCCAGCCTATTCCAACTTCTTCATATCAGAATAATTCTAGATCTTTCTAACACTCATTGCAACTAAGCTATCCTATCCTATAGTTATGTACTTGACTTCTGTTACCCAGGTGTGAGATCTAACACAGCTGGACATTTTCCTGTTGGATTCAAGTCTGACAAGGTAATTTTGAATTTTAACTTTTGCCTCTTCAATATTACCCCATTTTCCTAGCTGATATGATCTTCAATTTGACGAGTAAACCATTCCATATTCTAGGTAATGTATAAAAATTGCAATAGCCCTAGGCACATGTAGCCCTGTGGGAGTCCAATTTATACTTCCCACTTGGATTATGCAAAAGATTTATAACATTTTATGTGGTTGTTCAAATAGTTCCAAATTACTATTTAACAATTTTACATATGCCTATCAACAGTATATACCATTTATGATGTATTATATTTCTAGATATTTTAATTGTATACAGGCAGTTGTTAAAAAGGAGTTAAAATTTCCCAACTGAGATTATACTGAACTTATTTAACTGCAACAAACTGCATTTTAGCACAAAACAGTAACATGTGAGATACCTCTTGTGAAATAGCAGATTATTCATGTAAAATAATACATGAGTTATCTCAAATACATCTACAATAATGCAATGTTTCTCAATTTACAATTTACATAGAAAGATTTTGAGTTACAAGTTGCTGGTAGCGTGTAAAGAAACACATATGACCAACACAAAATGACAGAATTAGTATGAGTTTGCTACAGAAACAATAAGTCTATCTGAACAAGACAAGGACAATGTCAATATCAGTATTAAGCGCTATCTTACTGATATCAATTTGCAGCATTATAGAAAATATCATTTCTGTTCTGTTTTGAGGAAGGTTTTCAGTTGTGAGAAGGACTAGCTTCTATGGGGAAAGAAGTAGGTTTAGATGTTTAGATGTAAATTAAAGTTGACCTTATATTTTGAGGAAATCTTCTCCCAAACTGGTTAGTATTTATATCACACTTTCATACTAAGAGCATGGTCTCCTCTTAATACATGTAAATTAGGCATGTCTGCTTTTCAAAATAGGTCAGACACGAAATCAAAACCATGAGTACTAACATTACCTTTGTTGTAAGGTTAGAGTAACAAAAACCTGCAAGCATTTCTCCCTTCCTCTGCCTTTACTTTCCCAAGAACTAGGAAGGGTCCTTCTAAGACTCTTTCCACCTCCCATTCCTCTTGGGGGCTGAGATATATCTGCCTGACTATTATCTCGGCTTCTCCTTTTTCTGTCTCTCAAGTCTATTCTCACAATCCATTGAAACTATAACACTTTACCTGTAGATTTCCACTTGTCAAGAGGGTTTGTGATGAATCAAAATTTGGACAGATCTAAATTTAGTAAAAAATAACAATATAATTACTATATAATTATACAGTAAGAATAATGGAAAACTGAAGTAATAACACTGACAAAATATAGCTTTACCTCAGTTCAAATTCATCAAATAAATAAATATAACATTCTGTACCTATATTGTTTCTTTTTGCTATGTGAGGGTTTTAAATTTTTAAATGATTATTCATATGGTAGATAATAGGTTGCTTATGATCTCAGAAAGAGAAGAAAACAATCTTTTGTTTCATTAAAAATGAAAAAGATAAAAAATAAGCCAAGAGCTGTAAGCCCTTCAGAGGCAAAGTATTCTAGCAACTAAATGCAAGGGAGTCTATTTTCTTGATTTTAGGCTAAGAAAATAAAATAAATGTCTTTACCCAAACTTTTGTAGTACGTTTGTATATGGTAGGCAATTTCCAAGGAATTTTATCGCCACGATTAATAATACAAAGTTCATGAAAGGCATCAGAGAAAAATCCCAAATCTGTAAGAACTTTTATCTAAGAATAAAAAGAATAACTAATTAATATTCATATACTATATATGTATGTCTGCTATACTGGATGCTATTTCTTAAACTATAGAAGCTTCCCTGAGACAGCCACTACTGTATAATTAATTGTGTTAGCTATGGAATTGGTTTTAAAACAATTAGTTTCCTCTCATAGATAATTTCTAAAAGAAATCATGATGGAATAGAACTAGTTGCAACAAGTATTTCAACGAGCTGTGGTGGCACAGTGGTTAGAATGCAGTACTACAGGCTAACTCTGCCCACAGCCAGGAGTTTGATACTAACCAATTGAAGGTTAACTCAGCCTTCCATCCTTCTGAGGTCAATAAAATGAGGACCCAGATGGTTAGAAACAATACACTGACATTTGGAAACAGTTCAAAGAGTGCTGTAAAGCACTGTGGAGCAGTATATTAGTCTAAGTTCTAGTGCTAGTGATATTATCATGCTATGTTGTTATTCTCAAGTTATTAAAGAAATATGAAAAGCTACTCCACTATAACAAATAATTCAAAGCAAATTTTACAGGTTCAGTTATGCATAATGCAATGGCATAAAACTGTTTGCTGGAGAACAGTACCACATTATAAATAAGTCCCTGCAATCCCCTACAATTTAAAATGTGATGATTATTCAGATTTCATATGGATGAGCTCCACTCTGAAAACAAAGTGTAAATTTTAGCTCTACCTTGTAGGTCTGACAATATCCTACAACTTCATCACTATAAATTTTGTCAAAACTCATGTAGTTTCTGTATTCTAAAATAGGCAATATAGGAATATGCACATAAAAGAAAAAATATATTTTCTTGCCACAGCCAGGTAGCAGCTTATCAATAACAGAAACGTATCTTTTCCAGTTTATTTCTATAAATAACTATTCTAGCCCAGGAAAAATTTAGCACAGTTTATGAACAGCAACAATAGTAAAGAATAAATATTTCTGCTTGTAGTCTTTTCTCTTACTAATGCATGAATGCACAGTGTACAATTCTGTATTGGTTATCTGCCAGCAACACTCCACAAACAAGCTAAAATAATAAGAGTCTGAAAATTCATGCAGATGGTACACACTGAAGTTCAACACATAAACAAAGCAACATAATCCTTCCATTTAGTCTGCACAAAGCAATCAAAATCAGAAACATGTAGATAAAATAGAATAACGGAATTGGAAAAGCCTTGGAGGTCTTCTAGTCCAACCCCCAGCTCATGCAGGAAACCCTATACTAGCTATCAATTTTCCCAGGAGTAGGTATCCCAGCAAATTCACCCCAAGGTCAGATCATGCAATGCTCAGAAAAATTGCAAAAAATCCAAAGTTACATCTCAGATTCTACAGGCCTCAGTTAGCATGTTAAATGTTAAAGTTCATGACAGTACAATTAGAAAAATATTGAAAAAGTATGGTTTCTTTGGAAGGATTGCTAGGAGAAAGCCCTCTTTAAAAAGAATATGGCAGCAGGCTTAGGTTTGCAAAGTTACATCTGAACAAATCACAAGATTCTGGAACGAGCCTTTGGGCAGCAAGACCAAAGTGGAAACGATTGGCCATAATGCAGAGTTTGGTTTGGCAAAACCCAAACACAGCATATCAACACAAAATTGTATACCAACTGTCAAGCACAGTGGTGGATGGATGATAATTTGGGCTTGTTTTGCAGGTCCAGGCCTTGGGCACTTTGCAGTCATTAAGTCAACCATGAACTCCTCTGCATACCAAAATATTCTTGAGTCAAATGTGAGGCCATTTGTCCAGTAGCTAAAGCTTGACTGACATTAGATCATGACAATGATCCCAAGCAGACCAACAATTAACCACAAAATGGCCGAAAAAAGAAAGAATCAAGGTTTTGCACTGGCCAAAGTCCAAGCCTCAACCCCATTGAAATGCTGTGACAGGATCTCAAGCGAGCTGTGCATAAACAAATGTCCACAAACCTCAATGAACTGAAGCAATGTTGTAAAAAAGAATTCCTCCACAATGTGAGAGACTAATGAAGTCTTACAGAAAATGATTACTTCAGGATATTGCTGCTAAAGATGGTTCTACAAGCTGTTGAGCCATAAGGTGTACTATTTTTTTTCATACATGGCTTCTCTATTTTGCCCTTGTTTTTGTAAAATAAATGATGACATGGTATAAAATGTCCTGTGTTGTTATTCATCTGAGGTTGTATTTATCTACTTTAAGAACTGCTAAGGACCAGGTGATTTTTACCATGTCCTGATACATAAAACAATAGAACTCAACCCGGGTGTACTTTCTTTTTCACATGATTGTATATTTATGTAAACATGTATTTGTAAATACAGAAACAAGTCCAAGTGAAGTAATAAGGAGAGTTTGAGTATCTGTTCCTAAAATGTAGCAATGTAGTTCTCACAAGAAATCATCAGATCCAAAAGTTGAATGAAAGTCCTAAGAATTGTTTTCTTCATCACTCACTGAATTTAGAAGTTTGTGCCAGAACTCTTCAAAAAGGGAAAAATAAAAATTAAACAGTATTTAAAAAGAACATATAACAAGAGGATTGCTTGGCTTTAGCAATCTGTTTTCTGTTTTGACAACTGAATGGCCTCACGAAATGGCACAATAACCAAGTTGCATTAAATTATTTTTAATAAAATATTTTGGTACATTTACCTTTAGAATCCTTCCTTCAATACACTTAATTTCATTTCGACAAATTTCTGACACAAAGTACTGATATAATGTGAACAATGGCAAAATCTGCAAAAAAAATATGACAATGTATTTATTTATATGTACTTATAACTTTCTTCAACTTTTGTGGTACAGTTCAAAACAATATGCAATCCAAAGCATGAATAGTGGACCTGGGCAGATTGTTCAGCAAGACATTTCGCTAATGTGTAAAGCTCATCAGAATTTTCAAAGATGTAGAGAAGAGATCTCAATTGACGTAATATTTAATGCCAGTACAGCAGTTTGGTGGTAAGAAAAAATGCTTTGTATGCAGCAGACCTCAAGTTTAATCTCTTGTAAGTCAAAGCTGAAACGATACTTTGGCATAAGGCAGCTTTCGATGTTACTGAACATAGCTCTAAAATAAGTACTAAATTAATATGTTTAGAATTGTGAATATAAATTTTAATTCTATTTTAGAAAGCTAATTTAGCAAATTTTAAGTTACGCAATAGGAAGCAATATTTCCATGAAGTATCTTCGTATTTCCTCCTCTTCCCCTTCCTTCCTCTCTTTTTAATTTCCCAGTGTAGCTTACAATTCTGGTATTTTGTCCTGCCCCAAATCTTAACAGGCCCAACCCTGCTTAGCCTCCCAACCCAGATAGATCAATTTGCTGAGACTATATACAAATGGGGGGAAATCAGTTCAAGAACATATTAGACAAACTATATCCTTATATGACAAATTTTATGAATTTTATGATTTATATCTATACATGCAACTTTATCTGTAAATTTATTTAGCAAGTGTATTTATTCTAAGCAAGCAACCATAGAATCAGTTATATAATTAAAAAGATGCATAACTGTATGTATTATTGACTGTTTGATCCCATGTAGTTAAGAGTGAAAAAAAACATGTTAATCAATATTATAAATTATACCTCTAAGAAGTATAAATATACTATATCCTTTATAATACTTACTATTAGATTTTGCCTTCTGCAATGCAATTCATGCAGAACAAAACTGAGATTTGCAATAACTGTTGCAATATCAGCTCTATAGTAATCCACAAATAAATCAATGCCAGGAATTAATATGTCTGTTTCATATTGTGCAAAGTCACAATCAGCTTTAGGATGTGGTAGTGAGGCTCTAAACAAAGACTGAAATACAGAATAATAACAATATTCAAGTTCTATACAGGTATAAACACATTTAATTAATTTCTAATGCTTCAAACTCCTAAAATGAAACCAAATATAATACTGAGCTATAATAAACAGGATCAAGCCACTTTGCAGGATTGCCTTACTTTCCGATTATAAACTGTTTTTATTAACTAAATATGAGGTGAAAGGGGTTTTTACACACAAATCAGTTAAAACAACTATTTAGTTGCAAACACGTATTAGATTTATATTAAGGTACTTCAAAGCATCTGAAAGAAGTGTTTTGCAAAGTGCATTTGTCTGAGCAAAGTTCCCTTCCTCAAAAATTGCACTCATCAAGGGGCTCATGCAACTATTACAAAGACTATACCTTGCTTTCTTCACACGCAAGCAATGGTAGCACTTCCTGCAATTTTTAGAAAATAAAATTGCCGTGCATCTGCACATACTCAAACAGGGAGAGCATTAAGGTGCTGTACTCCCAATTACTTCAGTGGTTCCAAAGGATATGCTTTGCTCTCATTACTGTACAGCATGTTTTTCAAATACTTTGCACAATCCTACTGCTGATACATTTCCACTTCAGTGATTAGAGAAAATAAATTGATTAGCTACATTTGATCTGATACTAGGTAGTAGGAAAAACATAATCAAGAAAGTGGAAGAGGCAGGAATAGTGGAAGAAAGTAAGCAGAGAATGCTGATATTACTAATTTTAAAGTAACGCAGACCTGAATTGAACAAATTAGTAACTTTATTATCAAAAAAAGATAAGCCTAATTATTGCCAAATAAGCCATGGTGAGCATTTGTTTGTTTTTTAAATTTTAACCATAGAAGTAGCTGGAAGAGAAATGTCAATTTAAGAATATAGGGAGAGAAGGGAGGGAGCAGGGAATAAATCTCTTGAATGACTATTCCAAAAGATCCGAAAACTCTAGAGATCAGAGCCATCTGATTAACTTTATTCGTCAAGGCTCACACTCGAACACAAGTGCCCTCAGCTCAAGCACCCTCTGCTCATGCTCCAAGCTCCATTTGCACGAGTGGAAGGCACGCACACCTGATGCTCACACCAATGGAGCTGTGCATGTGCGTTTGCACCTGCCATTCACACCACCACCACCCCTCCCCGGGCCTGACCGCCAAGGTGGAAAGATTGGGGACCGCTGCAATAGACTATTTGCTGATCCATGGATTGAATCCTGTAATGGACTGAAAAGTATATACTGCACTATAATGCAAAACATTGAGCAAGTGTTCTGCATTATTTGTTTTGAAAATACTAATGTTGGTGGAATTATAAAGTATTCTACATTTCTTTCTTCTCTAATAGGTACTATTGGCTGATTCCTTTAACTGGCTTATTTCCTGACTTGCATGTATAAATGAAAGCATATTACTTACACATTTGCATAAGAATTATGATAACCATTTTATCTGTAATATAGCTCCATGATAATTACCAATTAATGTTATTTGATATCAAAGTACTCTCCAGATTTTCCATAATATATAAAGTAAGTAAGTAAATTAAATAAATAAACAAATAAATTTATGTGGGCTTATAATAAACAATGCCAAGCATCTATCCATATGCATGCACATTTACCATATCACAGCATAATTTTCTATTTGCAATTCAATAACGAAAGTTTATCTACAGATTACTATATAATGTCTAATTTTTAATACATATATTAATTACCTTGAAGAGTATAGCAGATAAAATGCAGGTTTTGGTTCTTAGTTTAATGTTATATTGTAATGAATGCCTAAATGCAAAAAATAAGCAATATAGTTAAACAGTGTTGTTTGTGACTGATTTACAATACCAAAGTAAGTATTTGAGCTTTCAAATAAAGATTTTTTTTACAGATTTCATCAAGTATTCAAACCCCCTTCACTCTTGTCAATTTTGTTATGCTGCAGCCTGATTCTACAGTTGTTGAAATACATTTTTTTCTCATTAATCTACACTCAGTACATCATAATGACAAAGAGAAAACATAATTTTAGAAATGTTTGTAAATTTATTTTTAAAAACTGAATATCACATTGGCATAAGTATTTAGAACCTTTGCAACATTATTTGACATTTAACTCTGATGCCTCCCCCATTGCTTTTGATCATTGCTGACATGTTTCTACACTTTGATTGGACTCCATTAAATTGATTGGTCAGGATTTGGAAAAGCACACACCTCTGTGAGACCTCTCTATAGAAGGTCTCACAGCTGACAATGCCTACTGTAGCAGTGCAAAAGCCACAAGGTCAAAGGAACTGCCTGCAGAGCTCAGAGACAGGATTATTGTAAGGCACAGATCTGGTGAAGGCTACAGTTAAATGTATGCTGCACTGAAGGTTCCTAAGGGCACAATGCCCTCCATAATTCTAAAATGGAAGAGGTTTGGAACAACCAGGACTCTTCCAAGAACTGGTCACCCACTCAGAGCAATTGGGGGAGAATGGCCTTAGTAAGAGAGGTGACCAAGAATCCAAAGGTCACTCTGATTGAGCTCCAGAGATTCTATTTGGAGATGGGACAGAGTTCCAGAAGGACAACTATTACTACAGCCCTCCACTGATCTGGGCTTTATGCTAGACTGATTAGACAGAAACCTCTCATCAGTGCAAAACTTATGAAAGCCCATTTGGAGTTTGCAAAACAAAAGCACCTGAAGGACTCTCATATTGGGATGAACAAGATTTATCTCTGATCAGATAAAACCAAGATTGAACTGTTTGGCCTGAATTCTATGTCTGGAGGAAATTAGGCACTGCTCATCACTTGCCCAATATCATCCCAACAGTGAAGCATCATGCTGTGGGGGTGTTTTTCAGCAGCAGGGACTGGTCAGGTTTGAGGGAAAGCTGAATAGAGCAAAGTAAAGGATATTCTCAATGAAAACCTGTCCCACCGCACTCAGGATCTCAGACTGGGCTGAAGGTTCACTTTCCAACATGTCAACAATCCTAAGCATACAGCCAAGACAACTCAGGAATGGCTTAGGGACAACTCTGTGAATGTCCTAGAGCGGCCCAGCCAGAGCCCTGACTTGACCTCTATTGAACATCTCTGGAGGGACCTGTAAATGGCTGTCCACTAACAATCACAACATGACTGAGCTTGAGAGGATTTGCAAAGAACAATGGCTAAAAATCCCCCAATCCAGGTGTGCAAAGTTTGTCGCATCAAACTAAAAAAGACTTGAGGGAGTAATTGCTGCCAAAGGTGCTTCAACAAAGTACTGAGTGAAGGGTATGAATATTTATGCCAATGTGATATTTCAGTTTTATAGATATTTCTGAAATTCTGTTTTCACTTTGTCATTATGGGAACTGAGTGTAGATTAATGAGCAATGAACTTCAACAACTGTAGAATCAGGCTGCAGCATAACAAAATTTACTTATTTATTTATTTATTTATTTGATTTGCCAATTGTTTACAAGATAATAAGTATAAGTGTATACATAGTTGTGAATACATGAAATGGGTACATATAAGAAAAATAAAAGAATAAGAGAAACAATAGGACAGGGACGGTAGGCACGTTGGTGCGCTTATGCACGCCCCAATGCTAAATTGACAAAAATGAAGGGGGTCTGAATCAAAGGTAGTATTTCAGCAGGTTCTGACCAGTTCTGGAGAACTGGTAGCAGAAATTTCGAGTTCGCAGAACCAGCAAATACCACCTCTGACTGGAGATTTGACAGCATCCTTCCCCTGCCACACCCACCAAGCCATGCCTACAGAACCAGTAGTAAAGAGCACTGCCCTTATAGCAGCAATGACTAGTGGAGTCAATTCTGCAGGGACTCCTTTACCTTTTTTATAATTTTGAATGGTCGGCATTTAAGTGAGAACTATATGTTTATCACATTTGTTTTATTTCACGGTTCTGAGGACTTCAGCTGTATCTGCAGTCTGTTTCGATTTACCGTTTATATTTTCAATTTTATTATTTATTTTCCCAAACTTACTATATTTCTTTATAATGGAAATCCAAGATGTAAATTTAACATGTAAAAATTTTATGTTATTCTACCTACCAGGAATTTGTATAAAATCATGTGACAATGCTAAAAACAATAAGAATATAACATGATATAGGATTGTAAGATATATTTTTTTAGTTGGAACAGAGAAAGTCCTGTATTCATAATAAACGTAATATGTATGAATCATTGGTCTGAATTTCTGTGAAATTAAATCATTAAGTAAAAAAATTAAATTGTAGATTAGCAAATAGAAAAAATACTCACTGAGCTATTTTAGCTGCTAAGGTTGCTCCTTGTAGGCAACCCCAAATTCCAGCCCGAGAAATAAACTTCTCAGAATAAACTTGAGATGTTTCTGACAAATTACCAGTGGTTTTCTCTGATGAGTCATCTAATTCTTGCCACTGATGAAGTGCATCATCCATTTTGAGAACTGCATCAAGGCCCTGACACCAGCATTTGAAAGCAATTCTGAGATACATTAGAACTTACATTACTGATATTCAAATGGAAGGTAAAAAGATAATATTTTATTTTGCATATCTCTATGGTTAAATGCAATGGAAGTAGAAAGTAATAGAAAGCAAATAAAGTAGACATAGTCCTTGACTTATGACCAAAATTATGGCCTGGAATCTCAGTGATGAGTTAAGTTGTTGTTAAATGTGATGTCCACAACTGCTTTACTCAAGGACTGTGATCCCAGCTCTCCAGTATCATTTGTTAAGCAACCATGAGGGTCATTAAATGGAAGGAATGAAAGAGCTACCTACTGAAGAAAGGCAGAAAGGTCCTTTCTTTGAGTGAAAGGGAACTCCTGTGCACAGCTGAAGAAACAAGCCTTGGATCTTCCAAGATCCCTGCTTTATTTTTCCAGTACAGTGCAGGAGTTCCCCTCTGCAAATGAAGAGAAGGTGAACTCCTGTCCTCAGATGCAGAAACTAAGTGGGGATCCCAAAAATCCATATTTCATTTCTGCAGCTCAATGAAGTATGTCAGTCCCCCACCCCACATGAATATAGGATCTAAGATAACTCGCCATCACCAGCTCGTCATGGGCAACTTACTGCTGCAGCTTGCCACCGCCAACTTGCCTCTGCCAACTCACCACCATGAAATTGCCGCACAACTCCACACAACCAATCAACATGGGGTCAACTCACTGCAGGCATCCAGAGAGGTGGGCAGGCAGGCAAGTAGATAGACAGAGCGCAGAGCAAATCGGGGCAAGCAGCAGGGTCTTTCCATTTTCACACCACATGTAGCACAGAGCTACTACTGATGCCACCACTGTGCCGAATGAGAAGCTACTACCATTGATGTCGCCACCATGCCAGGTACAGAACCACTGCTGCTGATACTACAACACCAGGCCTGGAGCTACTGCTGATGCTACCACCATGCTGGGCATGGAGCCATTGCTGTTGCTGCCACATTGGGTACACATCTGCTGTTGCTGCCGGCATGCCAGATGTGGAGCCTGGCATGACAGCTGCAGCCAAGTCCAATACTGCGGCAGTGGTGTGGGATATGAAAATGGGAAGCCCCCAGCCTCACTCACCCACCTGCCTCTCCCTCTGGCCACTTGCAGCAAGTTGTCCTCACGGCAAGTTGTCCCCATGGTGATTTGTCTGCAGAAGATGGTAGAGGTGAATTATTCAGCGGGCAGTAATAATTTGCAATTTTCCCTGCCAGCTTCTCCACTAACTTTCTTGGGAAGCTGGCAGAGAAAACTGAAAATGGGGCACTTGGCAACCAGTTGTAATCAAGTAGTTATTTTTAAAAAGGTCATTGATTTCTTGCAATAACTACTGAAGGACCAGGCCATTGACAAACCACAATACTACTGCCTTTAACCCTGGGGAAGCCACTCCATGCATACATGGACTTCCCAAAATCAACAAAGAGGGAATTTCACTCAGTTCAATTGTTAACAGCATCAACTCCGTAACCTTCAACATTGCTAATCATCTAATCACTTTATTAGCTCCTCTGGTAAGCAACACACCCATCACATCAACAATTCACAGGATTTTGCCAGCAAGGTTTAGAAATTAAACTGGATCCAGATGAGACTATGGTTTCTTCACTCTTCACCTGCATTCCAACAATGAAAGCTGTCATAGTAATGAAGAAACAATTGCTATAAGGCAGCACATTAGGCGAAAGAACTAATCTCATCCCATGTGCCATGCTGGACTTCTGCCTGATCACTACCTATTGTAAATACAATGAAGATTTCTACAGATAAAAAACACGATTACACCATGGGTTCATCTGTGTTGCCCATTGTGACCAATTTCTACATGGAAGAAGTAGATACCAAACCCCTAAACTCCTTTACAGGAATTCTACCCACTGACTGGTAAAGGTATGTGGAAGATACTTGGATCAAGATTAAACCACAAGAAAGGGAAGCCTTCAACATCAACTCTGGGTCCAAGTACCAGAAGAAGTTAAAGGAAATAGTCTGGCTTTCCTGGATTGCACAGTATACTTTAAGGGAGGCAGAAACCTCAACATTGAAGTATACAGAAAACACCCACACAGAGATCAGTATTTTGACCAATGTTCGGAGTCCTAACAACCAGATGACTGCAAAGAATATAAATCATTCCATTCCCCACTATTCAGTTAGAACTGAAGAAGCTTCTTGGATGAGAAGCATTTTTTTTTTAAACTAAGAAAGTCTCTTTCATGAATTACTGCCTTGTGGCAAAAGGGCTTGTGTAGCTCAATTAAGCTGTGAGCTATGCTATGCAGGGCCACCCAAGACAGACAGGTCATAGCAGAGAGTTCTGACAAAATGTGATCCATTGGAGAAGGAAATGGCAACCCACTCCAGTATCTTTGCCATGAAAACCCCATGGACAGTACCACAAGGCAAAAAGATATGATGCTGGAAGATGAGCCCCTCAGGTCAAAAGGTGTCCAATATGCTACTGGGGAAGAGGAGAGGGCTAGTACTAGTAGCGCCAGAAAGAGTGAAACGACTGGGCCAAAGCCTAAAGGATGCTCAGCTGTGGATGCATCTGGTGGTGAAAGGAAAGTCCGATGCTGTAAAGGTCTGTTCTCCATAGGAACCTGGAATGTAAGATCCATGAAAGATCCATCCAAGCTGGACATGGTCATGAAGATCCCTCCAAGCCTGACATGGTCAAACAAGAGATGACAAGACTGAACATTGACATCTTAGGAAGCAGTTAGCTAAAATGGACAGGAATGGGTGAATTTAATTCAGATGACCATCAGGTATACTACTGCGGGCAAGAATTCCTCAGAAGAAATGGAGTAGTCTTCATAGTCAATAAAAGAGTAGGAAAAGCAATACCCAAAATGACAGAATTATCTCAGTTCAAATCCAAGGAAAACCATTCAACATCACAGTAGTCTAAATCTATGCCCCAACCATTGGTGCTAAAGAGGATGAAACTGATCGGTTCAATGAAGCCCTACCACATCTTATAGAATTAGCACCAAAAAATGATGTCCTTATCATCATGGGGGATTAGGATGCTAAAGTAGGAAGCCAAAAGAAAACCGGAATAACAAGCAAGTTGGCCTTGGAGTACAAAATGAAGCAGAGCACAGGCTGATAGAACAACACAACAGAAGGCTCTACACATGGACATCACCAGACAATCAACACAGAAATCAGATTGACCATGTGTTCTGCAACCAAAGATGGAGAAACTCTATACAGTCAGTAAAAACAAGACCAGGAGCTGACTGTGGCTCACATCATGAGCTTCTCGTTGCAAAATTTAGGCCTAAATTGAAGAAAGTAGGGAAAACTACTAGGCCACTCAGGTATGAACTAAATCATATCCCTGATGAATATATAGTAGAGGTAACAAATAGATTTAAGGAATTAGATCTGATAGACAGCGTGCCTGAAGAACTATGGACGGAGGCTCGCAACATTGTACAAGAGGTAGCAACTAAAACCATCCCAAAGAAAAAGAAATGCAAGAAAGCAAAATTGCTGTCTGAGGAAGCTTTGCAAATAGCTGAGGAAAGAAGGGAGGCAAAAGGCAAGGGAGAAAGAGAAAGAAACACCCAATTGAATGCAGAATTCCAGAGAATAGCTAGAAGAGATAAGAATATCTTCTTAAATGAACAGTGCAAAGAAATAGAAGAAAACAATAGAAAAGGGAGGACAAGAGATCTCTTCAAGAAAATTGGAGATATGAAGGGAACGTTTCATGCAAAGATTGGCATGATAAAGGACCAAAATGGCAGGGACCTAACAGAGGCAGAAGCGATTAAGAAGAAGTGGCAAAATTACATAGAAGAACTATACAAGAACGAGCTTAATGTCCCTGATAACCACGATGGGATGGTCACTGACCTCGAGCCAGACATCCTAGAATGTGATGTGAAATGGGCCTTAGGAATTTTGAGCAACAACAAAGCTAGTGGAGGTGACAGTATTCCAGCTGAGCTATTCAAAATCTTAAAAGATGATGCAGTAAAAGTGATACTCAATTTGCCAGCAAATTTGGAAAACTCAACAGTGGCCACAGGATTGGAAAAGGTCAGTTTACATTCCAATTCCAAAGAAAGGCAATGCCAAAGAACATTCAAACTATGACACCAATGCACTCATATCACATGCTAGTAAAGTTCTGCTTAAAATCCTACAAGCTAGGCAGTATGTAGATCGAAAACTACCAGAAGTACAGGCAAGATTTCAAAGACGCAGAGGAACTAGAGATCAATTGCCAACATACGCTGGTTCATGGAGAAAGCTAGGGAGTTCCAGAAAAAACATATATTTCTGCTCCATTGACTATGCTAAAACCTTTGATTGTGTGGATCACAACAAATTGTGGCAAGTTCTCAAAGAGATGGGAGTACCAGAACATCTTATTTGTCTCTTGAGAAACCTATATGCGGGTCAAAAAGCAATATTGAAAACTGGGCATGGAACTACTGATTGGTTCAAAATTGGTAAAGGAGTCCGGCAAGGCTGTATACTATCACCCTGCCTATTTAATTTATATGCAAAGCACATCATGAGAAAGGCAGGGCTAGATGAATCAAAAGTTGGAATTAAGATTGCCGGGAGAAATATCAACAACCTCAGATATGCAGATGATACCACTCTAATGGCAGAAAGTGAAGAGGAACTAAAGAGCCTCTTGATGTGGGTGAAGAAGGAGAGTGCAAAAGTTGGCTTGAAACTCAACATTAACAAAACTAAGATCATGACATCTGGCCCTCTCAATTCCTGGCAAATAGATGGGGAAGAAATGAAAGTAGTGACATATTTTATTTGCCTGGGCTCCAAGATCACCACAGATGGAGACTGCAGGCAAGAAATTAAAAGACGCTGGCTCCTGGGGAGGAAACCTATGGCAAATCTAGACAGCATACTAAAAAGCAGAGACATCACCCTACCAAAAAAAGTGAATATAGTCAAGGCTATGATTTTCCCAGTTGCAATGAATGGCTGTGAAAGTTGGACAATAAGAAAGGCTGAGTGCCAAAGAATTGAGGCCTTTGAACTATGGTGCTGGAGAAGATTCCTGCAAGTCCCTTGGACTGCAAGGTGATCAAACCAGTCAGTCCTAGAGATCAACCCTGACTGCTCTTTAGAAGGCTAGATCCTGAAGATGAAATTCAAATACTTAGGCCACCTAATGAGAAGGAAGGACTCACTGGAGAAGAGCCTAATCTGGGAAAGATTGAGGGCAACAGAAGAAGGGGACGACAGAATGAAGTGGCTGGATGAAAGCAGTAGGTGTAGGCTTAAATGGACTCCAGAAGATGGTAGAGGACAGGAAGGCCTGGAGGAAAGTTGTCCATGGGGTTGCATTGGGTCGGACACAACTTCACAACTAATAACAACAAAAGCAACAACAACAACAAACAAAATCAAGTCGCCTTTTGAAAAGCATCTTTGGGACAACCATGACCTGGATGATTGAGAAGATCCATAGATATCTGCAAGAAAACAACCAAGATCAGAGAGCACCAAGGACCCCACAGTTCAATCCTGAACTACAAATATTCTCTTATATTGGTATAGTCCAACTAGTTAACTAGTTAGCGAAGAAGGCACAAACAAAAATCAGTTAAGGAGAGTAAAAAATTAGTAGTAATGGTGTTTTTTTTAGTTCAAAGGAATTAACAAAACAGAATGGAAGAAAAGGCAAAGAGGAATTCAGAAGAATGAAATATGTTGTTATAATTCTAGTGAAAATTTTGACTTTGTGTGCCCCATTGATTTCTCTACAATGATTATACATTTTATTAATTTTACAAGGTATAGATTGATATACAAAATGTAAGAAGCTAATACCTTTTGCTTCCTGTGAAAAAATGCAGATTTCCAAGTTCATGAAAAGCCTGGACCATGAGACCATGCTGATTATTTCTTTGAAGAACTTCTGTTTTTCATCAATTTGAGGGGGAAATGTTTGAATATTTAATAGTAAATATATTTAGAGAAAGAAACTTAATATGACTGCTTTAAAATAAATTGCTGTGTTTTTCTATATTAGTTAGTCTACCATTTTAGTATACTATCCAATTAGAAAGCTCATGGTAGTACAAATAACATTTTTGAAATACATTTTTAACACTCTACCCACAATTAAAAAGGTAATAAGCTAACATTTCCCACAATCACCCTATGGATCAAAGGTCTACTGAAATAAAGTGGTCTTCAAGGCTTTCCAGAATGAGAATGGAGTTAGGGCTCATCATACTTCATACAGTGTATTTGACTCTGGAAACTATTACAAATCTGTGTTAGCATTTTGTATTTTGTATTTTATTTTATTTTATTTTATTGCCATTTCTGTAATATCAAGTTGCAAAATATTTTAAAGCCAATTATTTTTGCATTCAAAGTGCCCCATTTCAAGCTTGAAGTAGTGTAAAATGGGGGGGACTCTTGTATGAAATTACCAGATTGAGTCCGAGGAAGGGGTCAAACACATCATCAGTCATAAGTCCCTTTGTGCCCATAAGAGATCTAAGTTCAGATTAATGTCGGCACCAGAGAAATCAGGAGATCCAGGCAGTTCAAATGCGTACAAAGATTTATTGTAAGCCTAAGCTCTCTACAAGAATACCAACTACTGATGCTCAAGGGAAATTAGAGGAAGTTAAGAAGAAAAATAAATTCAAGTTAGGCTGGACTTAGATTTGTTGTGGGCACGCAGGGACTCATGACTGATGATGTGTTTGACCCATCCCTCAGGCTCAGCCTACTATCTCCTACATCTCCTCTTGAAATAAAATGGTATTGTTTCAATAATTGTAGAAGTATTTTAAGCTTGAAACAATGTTGTATCCCTAAACAATTCCACAACGACATGAGTTGGGTGCTTTATACTGTAAGCAACTGTTTCTTTGAATTTTAAAACTGGTTGAATTGGCAATATTTTGCATACCACTAGACCTACATATACTTTTGTAGTGGTTTTGCAGTGACCTATTCTCTTCATCTATTAACTATTATTAGATGAATCTTAGCAGTAATTTCCAGGGGTGGGATTCAACCAGTGTTACTACTGGTTTGGTGACTATGTTTTGCGTGCACATGCTGTAAAAAAATTTAAGCTGTGATGCACGGACAGCTGAAAAGCGCTGCCCGTGGGTGTGCAGTGTTTGAAAAACCACTTTTTTCCTGCTTTTTCAACCTCAGCTTTGCTGCGTAAAGCAGCTGAGGTTGAAAAAGCAGGAAATAAAGGACAGGTAAAAGCCGGGGCAAGTGGGTGAGCCAAACAGCAGCAAACACAGAATCGGTTCTGTGTCTGCTGCTCTTCAGAGCTACCGGTTCTATAGAGCCGGGCAGAACCGGTAGCATCCTACCCCTGGTAATTTCTCTCTCATCAGAGAAAAATAAATAAAAGCAAGGTTATTTCTTTGAGTCCACTAGAACTCCAACAGCAGTCTGCTGAAATACTACTATTTTCCTCTCTCTGAACTATTTAAAATAATACATTTTTGCAAGCATAATATGTGTTCAAATTTCCTATCAGATCATACAGTAATTCAATGTATGAAATAGAATGGATTATAAAGTTACCAATTGTTTGTTCATATGAAGAGATCACTACTGAGACTTTTGACTGGGGAATGGAGTTGCTCTCAACCATACTGAGGCAAGTAAAACTTTCTTCTGAAAGATCAGGTGGTTCTGGTTCATACGTCAACTCAGCTCCCATAGTAAATCCCACTTTTCCACGTGAAGTCTTCTGGTTTGCATATATCTCTAATCTTCCAGAAGAGTCTTGTTTTATAAATAGATTTAATGAAAACATTTTAGCAATTCTTACAGATTAGAGATTCTGAATATAATATTAGATATTATACTATTATTCCAGAGAGATTTGTACTGAAAGTAGATATATTTTACAATTTATTTTAATTAAATGTATGGCATTAGAGAGCACCTATACTATCATATGCTCCCTTTCCTAGGTCTTCTCTTTCCTCACACAAATTTCTTTTCTTTTTCTCGTCTTTGGAAGAGATAATATAAAATTGTTATAATTATGAAAAGGGAGTAGTTTGGTACCTCCAAATCACATTTCTTCTGATTTACATTAACCAATGGAATAAAATAAAAAGTAATTTTTCAAAATAAGCTGGAAGAAAATTTGCTGAAGCCCCATTATGTTCCTTCAGAAATAACTAAAGTCCCAAGATTATGTAACATTTACAACAACCTTTACAGATTTGGTGTTTGAAAGTATGGAGAGCAACAACTGCATTAACAGCCTTCAGTCCAGCTCTACTATCTCCAGGGAGTTGCATTGTTCTAGGCTTGGGTAAAAAGAAGCTACCCTTCTTGACATTTTTTCCTATCAGGCCCACAAGCCTTCGAAAAGATGGAGGGTATTTTGGTCTACGCTGGATCATTGTTAGGACAGCTACAATGAACTGAACATTATAGGACAGAATGGGAATAGAATGATTGGTGGTGGCTATGTTATTTTTTCTACTATTGTTTAGTTTATGTGCCTAGAAGAATCTTACAATAATATCACAGTGAAGAGGAAGTTATTTGTGCTCATACATAAATTATACAAGAATTCCTGAATGAATGTACAATGCTTTTTGTTTACATAATATGCTTCAATCTTTATTCAAACAGTTCTTAGGCATTTCTTGTCTGGCTTTTTTATGAGTACCTTATCCCTGTTATTTAAGAAGGTTGAGTTTATTAATTGAAAAAAAGAATGAAAATTTCAAACTTAAAATTTTCAAGTAATAACTTTACAACAATTTTCCCTTTTTAAAAAGTCAAAATTTACATGGTATTTTGGTAAACAATACTTGAGGAATTATAAACTTTCAAGCAGGGGTGGAATTCAAATTTTTTAACAACTGGTTCTGTGGGCATGGCTTAGTTGGTGGGCGTGGCTTGGTGGTCATGTTACTGGCTGGGCATAGCCAACTCAACATCACTCACATCGAGGTATGCATCTCCTCGCCTGGTCTCTTGTGACTGTGGGGATGCTGCAACAGTCGTAAGTGTGAAAAATGGTCATAAGTCACTTTTTCAATGGTCACTCCACACAAGCAAAATACCAGCAAAGGAGAGGGGGAAAAACTCCAGAGAAGTTCCAGAGACAAGAAGTCTACTCCTACCAAGAATGTAATAAGGGTTAATGGAGAGGGAGTTCCTGTAAGCAACACCAGAATGTTTCCTTCCTGCTTTCTTTACAGGATTAGGACAGTAATTTCTTCTAATGCAACCGGTTCTCCGAACTGCTTAGAATGTTAATAACCAGTTCTAGCCAATAGATGTGAACAGGTAGAATCCCACCCCTGCTTTCAAGTGTTTCTGTAAAGGAGTCTGAAAGATGTAACTATGTAAGAGCTCTGCCATTCTACTGATGAAATGGCATTTGGTTATCTTTCAGAAACATTAGTGTAAATATAAACCAATTTACTTCTTTCTAAATGGCTTTGTTGCTATACATATCAGCCAATGCCCTAGAAATTGGTTTTTGGAGAAAACTGCTAATTCAGTTGGATTAAGAAAACCTTAAACTTTTGAAAATTATATTTCTCATTTTAGGCATTTATCTTCACACTTTTTTTTAAAGGAGAAGATCTTGATTTCTTTGGGATTCTTAATTTCAAATTGTGCCAATATAATTTATATAAACATGCAGTAAATAGGACAGTAAATAATTTATTAAATTATTATTAGGAATTTCATTTTGCTTCTCTATAGCAATATGAAAATTAATTCATCAGACATTATATATATATACATGATAGCATGTAGTTAAAGTTTTATTACGATTCTAATAATTATTAGATAGTGTGGAATGTTCAAATAGAATAGTCAAAAAAATTAAATGTTCTAAAATCAAATCAATATGTATGTGTGTGTGTGTGTATTCATACTTACACACATATGCACACATTTTTTTCAATATTTTTAAAGTCTATTTACAGTTATATATACATCCAATTTCTTTTGAGAGGTACTCACCTCGCACATCAACAAGAAATAAACAAAGCAATTTCCTGCTGTATTTAAGGGCTCTGCTGTGGTTCTTTGATTTTTCCAGAGTTTCTCTAAAACATTTTAGCGTATCCATCGGATCCAGAGGAACAGAAAATAGTGGTCTGGTTAGACTGATACCTATAAAGAACCCATAATTATTTTAATAAGCTCTATGTCTAAGTAACAAATGTGTAATATACAAAAATAAAATTGCACAGAAGTTTACTCTAATACTAGTAGTATCTTTATTACAGTCATAGATCAACTTACAGAGTTCACACATAGGCATAGTTCAAATTGAAAAACACAATACATATAAGTAGTAGAATTCTAAAAAAAGCTCCTGAACTCAATGTGGAAGGTTTTGAGTTATTATATATTCAGAAGAAATCCATGCTAGAAACAATGAAATTATTGCAGTTAATCAGATGGTGAATATGGGCTCCTCAGTGAAATCAACTTGAGAACAATGATTAGTGTCAATTTGTCTGGAGCTGGAATTTGTGGCAAGAGTAAATGCATCATGTGTGGAGGGAATATCAATCTTCAGTAGAATGTCTAAGTGATTTGGATTGATCACTGAAACAAGTTTGGAAATATAAGAGGAAGGAAAAGAATCTATTGGGCTGAGTAGATGCTTCATGCATGATACTACATCCTGTATTTTAGTTGCCTCTCCCAGATGTGACACATTTCCAGTAATGAAAAATGAAGAATAATGCAGCTGAATATTCTGTTAGTGCCAGTGTAATGTAGAATTAATGTATAATATGGGTTTTTTTTAATTTTTAAAGACATTTGGGGGGAAAGGCAGACAACTTGTGCATAATTGTTAGATAAGATGTCCCCAAAATTCCCAATGTTTATCAAACGATCAATGTTATATTTAACTAATAGAGGAACAGTATCTATAGTATACACTCTTCTGATGTATGAAAATAAACAGTTCTCCCACCCCAAACTTATTTGCTCCTTTAGTTTGTACACAATCTAGAACTACCTTGACTGAATCAATTTTTGTTATTATCTCAATAGCTATAATGTAGAACATCTACATAATTGGTTTGACAAGTTTTTGATAAAGATAAAATAATATATAAATACATTTTATTTGATATACCAAATCTATGCAACAAATAAAACCTGCACATGATTGAAACAAAACAATTTATCCATCCATAAAAATAATCCAAAAGAACATAAACACTTAATTATCCCAAACAGAATGAACTCTGAAATTTTTAAAGAATATAATTTACATATCTTCATACCTAAGTGATCAAACTGTTCGACAATTGGTCCTTTCCATTTTGTAGCAGCATACAAGTTTTTTGCAACAAAGTTTCTGCAGCATACCTTAAGAGAGTATTTTCTGATACAGTTAACAGCCTTTTCAATGAAGGAGATCAGGTTAAGTAGACTAATCTTCTTAAACATTTAAAATTAGATTCTGAAAATTCATCACTATTATTTCCATTTTCAAAAAGCAAAGAAATAACAAAAGCCAATGTTCATTATCTAGAATGGATTATGTTCACAAGAAAAACTAAACAAAAAATAGGACATTCTTATTAAGAAGATGTGCATGACCATCAGAACAGTGTTCCTTTGGCACAAGACTTTTCAGAATTTACCCTTACAAACTCTCATACGTAGTAATGTGACCTGAACTTCCCAAACTAATCAGAATTCACAATTCTATCATTGCCATGCTCCTATTGTGTCAGCTCTCTTCACTATATCCAACCTAGCTGGAAATCAAGGTGATATGCATGCAGGGGTGGGATCCGACCGGTGTAATTACCGGTTCAGTGATTTTGTGATTTGCGTGTGGAACGTCATCAGCTATGCTGCCCGAACAGCTAAGCAGCGCTGCGCATGGGTGTGCAGCGTTTGAAAAAGCACTATTTTCCTGCTTTTTCAACCACAGCTGTGCCGCGCAAAGCAGCTGAGGTTGAAAAAGCAGGCAATAAAGGTCAGGTAAGAGCCCGGGTGGGCAGGTAGGCCAAAACAGCAGCAGACATGGAACCAGTTCTATGTCTGCTGCTCTTCAGAGCTACCAGTTCTGCAGAGCCGGACAGAACCGGTAGAATCCCACCCCTGTTTAATGCATGGTCCTAAACTGGTAGTCTTGTTGCTTAGCACCATAACATTTTATCCCCACAGTGATATGGAGGATAGGACTGCTTTTTCCAGTCAAGAAAAAAATTAAAGAGATACCTGTTAGCTAATTCTGTTCTTAGAATACATTTGAGGTTCAGGGAAACAAGTTTTATTAAATAATGAAAAAGGACAGAGAAAGAAGTTGGGATTACTATTACACTTGCCCTCTTTACTCACTAACTAGTCTGAGAATCAGGGTGTATCTTCTTGTTAGAAAATGAGATTTCGAGCCTACTCATTTGCTCTAGGACAGGGGTAGAGAAACTTGGCTCTTTTGTCACTTATGGACTTCAACTCCCAGAATTCCTGAGTGAGCCATAAAAGGTTCCCCATAAAAGACCCAAGTTTTCCTACCCCTGCTCAAGGAAAAATAACTTTAGATTACATATCATTTTTATTAAGTTATGGGGAACTTTAATGTGCCCATTCAAAAATCTTTTTCAGACAGCCCAATACATAACTAAAGATTATATTTTTATATTTCTTTAAAACTTTTAACCCAAATTTCAATTACAAGTTGTTTTTTTCTTTATCATCTAAAACACTTTACCTTGTCTCCAGTATTAGTCATTAATTCTTCGAAGCAAGACTGTGCATTATCTGACTCACAGAGTAGTTTTTTTTCCTGCAGCTGCCTCTGGGCAAACACCAACACAGGAGTTACTTGCTCCATATATCTTTCACTAGAAAAAGTTAGATGCATTTTAAAATAAATATTGTTAATATATATTTTTTTAAATCCTTTCTTTCCCAAAGTCACTTTATGTTACTTACTGTGTAACTGTGTTAAATTGCATAGCTATGTTAACTAGTGATTCCCATTTCTTCAAACGAAACAGAAACTCAAGAGTTTGCAGAATGAAATGGCGTATTCCTTGGAAATCTATAATATTCACATCATCAAGGGGATGTTCAAAAGAAAGGCTGGAACCACCTTCATCAACAGCAATGCCTCCTATGCAGCTTGGAACACCAAAATTTCCCTTGGGCTCAATAATCTGTAAATTTAAACAGAGATCATAATATCCTATTCCATTTTTGCAGGTCATCTTTAAAATCATGATACAAATATCAAGTACAAACTCAACTAGCACTTCTAATTACATAAATTTTCTTTACATTGTATCAAGAATATTCATTTACACATCTAACTGAAATACATAAACATTTCTATTTTTAATAATATTGCATGTGTCCGTGATTTACATCAGTATCAAACTCATAGCAATATTATATTTTGTTGGTCTTTGATGTTTACCAACTTATTAACGTATTTGTTAGTCTTTTATTATTACTAACATATGTCTACTCTCTGAAGATATGGATCTCTTCCTTTTAACAAATACAGTTGCCATGTTAATTATACTGCATGCTAGAATATGAGCATCTCAGACAGACATCCTGGTCTTTGTGACAATTCCCACATTGTGTATCGTGAAGCAGATGTTACCTAACATGGCACTGACAAAGAAAGATGTTTCATATTTTTCATGAAACCAATGTTGAGCAGATCTACCAAGACTGTTTAATTCAGCAAATTCCTCCAATTATAATGATTCCTAGACAAAGTCAGAGGAAGTGGCATATATTCTAATGCACAAATTCAGAACTTCTAATTGCACTAATACTGCATTCAATGCATTCTTGCAAATCCATGTTCCCATTCTTCCAAGATCTTCTTATGTGTTATCTTAGTTTGCTTTTTGTTTAAAAAAACATCCTCCCTTCTAGGAGCATACAAAATAAACAAAATCTAGTACAAGACTGCTGCATCAGATTTTCACAAAACATTTATCTTTCTTGAGAAATGAACCCATCTCCATTTACATTAAATAAAAAAAACAGTTTAATCATTTTGCACATAAAGTATTTATCTTTTTCTAAATATTTCTAAATGTAAAGGCATAGAATAATATATATAATTAAAATGAATTAAAGATTCCTAATCTTTGTTTAGTTGCTTCAAAATATAAAAACAACATGAATGATGTTAATCACAGAAGTAAAAATATATTTACCTTAACATAATTGCTATCTTGAAGCTCAACTATCATATCAAGCAATGTATCTGATGCTAAATAGTATGGTAACCAAATGGTCTTAAGAAAAATCTCCTTGTTAACAGGAAAGGGTGCATGAAAAGATCCTGAATGCTTAATAATAATTTGTATTTCCCGAGTATAGTTCCAAAGGTCTCGGCAGGCATTCTGAAGCAATGTCCAGTGGCGACCTCGATGGGCAACAACCTGGATCGTATTTATCAAATGCACAATTAATGAGTGGGAGTTGAATATCACAGTGATTTAAATAGTAAGTATAAGTCATATTTTCATTTATAAAAAAAACTTCAAACTTAAGCATGTTCATTCGCAAGAAATCTGCTGGATAAACTATTTCACTTTCTTAAGATATTAGTTGGTATATATTTCACATAGATTATAACTGTTTTACTAGGACTATCTAGGACAGAGATCTAAAGCAATACTGAGCAAGGTATTCATTTATGTAAGCCAATTATTTGTTTGTTTATAACCCATTCCAGTCAACCAACCTACAATTGAACAACCTACAATTCCACAAATTCATCATTTGGACTAACATAGATAAAACAAGATAAAGCAATACCACAATGACAATTAGAAACTAGTTACAATAAAAAGCATACACTGAAATGCAACCATCCATAAATAGGAAATCAAAAAAGAACCACTTAATCAGTAGAAAAATAGGTATAGAACCTGTGCCCCCATAGCTTAATGAAATTACCATATTTCTCATCTCTTTTAACATGTATCTAGTGCCACAGTTTAGGAGCAATTTTTCCTAATTGATTTGCCTCTAATGCTTATTTATAGAAAGCTTAGCAGCTTACCATAAAAGCTTTTAGATATTAAATTAAACCACTTGAGTCTATGAATAAACTATAATATTGAATTGAATGTTATAAACCATCACGAATTTCTAATCTGAATTATGGCTATTCCTTTTCTGTATGATTTAGCCTCCTCTAACAGTTATGACTGGACAAACACATTATTATAAAGTCAGGTTTTTCTTAAAACTATGATTTGTTGGACAACAATGATTGGTGGCTTTAATATTAATATATATTGAGTGCTTAGCATACATGCTATATCTAAATCAAACTATAACTTTGTGTTAAATGTAAATCAGAGTTCTTGATTTCTTTTGCAATCAGCTATCTAGAAATTATTTCAGCTGTCTGCTGATTCTTGCACCACTTAGTAATTGTGACCATTTAAGAACTTCCATGAACCTTTAATGTTGTATTACTTGTGAACTCTACTCTCTTTTATTTATTTATTTATCTGTGTTGGGAAAGAGATCTGTTTAGAAATAGCTACTCCAGTTGTTCACAAATTGTTCCACATTATATTTAAGTTTTTTTAAAAAAGAAACCCTTACAGAAAAAAGCAAATTCCATTCCACTTAATGTAACAAAAGCATCATTTCCTACATTTCTTACTATTACAGTATATTATTAAATTAGTTTAAGCCATTAATAAATTCTAATTTTCAATCTTTTTCTGATGATTCTGATTGAAACTATGCCTGCTTTTATCCCTCTCTCTTGGCCTTTCCTTGCATTAAAACAAAAGCTAATTTATAGCTTTATGGCTTTGCTTTACAGGAAACAATTTAAGATTTGAAAACCTTACTTTAGAAGCCCTGATGTTTATTTGCCCAAGAAACCACTGAATTGCTATAGGTCCTCAATGAACAATATTCTAAGATCCTATTCTCTCTAAAATTGAAAAATATGGTTTTTATTCCTTTTAAAAATGTCAATTTCATTATGCTTATTTTTCATTGCATTCCGAGTAGTTGCCCTTTATACTTATTCTTCATTACATCCCAGATAATTGTAAAACTGTCATTTACATTTTGAGTTTGCTTTGCAGGGACTAGATTCCCAGCCACTTTACAAGATGGTATCTTCCTAGATTCTACCTAGTAATTTCAGTTTTTTGTTATTTCATGTTAATGTTTTGTGATGTAAACAGTCACAATATTTCTACTGATTTTGCCAAGAAACTTTATTCAAACAAGCAACAAAAGCAGTACATATTGTATTACGGAAAGCAGCATATTTTTTAATGTGAGGTAACATGCTGGTGAAAGTGCTGTCTGGAATAATGGAAACCCAGATTTGAGACCAACCCAACCTCAGTCCAACCTAACTCATAGGGTTATCTTTAGGATAAAAGAAAGGGTCTAACTCCATGTATCTATTTTCTGCTGTGAAAAAAGGTGGGATATAAAGGTAGTGATACATAAATATACTGTTTTGTTTTATCTTATATTTATTTGTTTTTGAGTCAGTGTTAACTTCTGGTGACTGACTGGACAAATCCTTGCAATTTTCTTGGTAAGGTTTTCTGAAATGGTTGCCTGCTTCCTAAGACTGAGAGTGTGTGACTGGGCCAAGGTTAGCTGGTTGGCTCTCTGCTTAAGGTGGAAATAGAAATAGTCCCACAATTTCTAGCTTGGGTCCCTTAACTACTACACAAAACTGGCTCTTTATTATTACATCATTTAAATTAGAGTGTGACTGATGATGATGATGATGATGATGATAATGCTGTCCATTCAATCACATCCAATTTTTCAGCAATTCTATGGATCAGCTCTTTTCAGCTCTCCACATTTTCTGACCTTGTGCAGCTTGTTCCAGTTGTTATATGCTTTGGCTGATATCAATTTCGATGGTGTAAATAAAGCCACTGTGTTTTTTGAAGCCTCATTTCCTTTTACTTCTGACCACTCCAAACATATCTGCCTTTCTCAGTGAATTTAATTACATAAGTAAGATGGAATTTTGTGAGTTTTCCCTTCCAGTAAATGTCTGGCTTTACACATTCCAGTACTTGCTTGTTCATCATCTTTGCTGTCCAAAGAATGCACAGAAATTTCTCCAACACCAAAGCTCGAACAAGTTGATTTTTCTCCCGTCTAGTTTTTTTATGATCCAACTTTTGCAACCATGGGTAACTATGGAAAACACAATTGGGAGGACTAAATTACATTTGTTGTCAGAATGGTGTTCTTGCTTTTCCATGCTCAGTGCAATTCAACACTTTATTTCTTGACTGCATTTACTACTTCAATCAATCTGCAATCCTAGGAAAGTGAATTCTTCCATGCCTTTCACCCTCAATTGTTAATTTGAAATTTCCATTCTTTGTAGTTGTCATAAGATTGGTCTTTTCAGGAAGAGGCCAAATTTCTCACTTTTTTCTTTTATCCATTTGATCAGATCTTTCAGTCCTTCTTTGGTTTCTGAAAGTTGTGTTGTGAACTTATCAAAGACTGTTTATGTTTCTTCTTCCAATAATTACCCTTATTTTTGATTCTTCAAGTTCCAATTTCCTCAAAATCATATTGTGATACAAGTTGAAAAAGAAAGGTGAAAGAATGCAGTCTTTCCACATACCTTTCTATATCTTGAACCAATCAGTGTCTCCATATGATGTTTGCACAGTGGCCACCCAATTTTTTTCAGTGACTACACCAACATGGCAGATGTGTTGGCAGCCAGAGATCTTCTAGGGCTCTCCACAGCTGATCATGATCAATACAGATGAAAGCTTTCTTGTAGTCAATAAAGCAGAGGCCGATGTTCTTTGATATTCCTGAAGTTTCCATGTTCCAGTGTAGATTTGCAATATGGCCTTGAGTGCCATGACCTCTTCTGAAGCAACCTTGAACATCTAGTTATTTTCTTTTGATGATCAGCACCAGATGTTATATAAATTAATGGGAATTAATTTTATTATTTATTTATTTATATGCTTCCCATTTCACTGTTGAAGTTATTCTGGGCAGCTTGCTGAGGGCAAAAAATGAAGTTATTCTTGGAGTCATCATTTTTGGCAGTGGAATGAACACTAATTGTTTCCAATCCTGTGGCCATGTGTTTGTTTCCCTAATTTTCTGGAACAAGAGTGTGGTGCTTGTGGGTGATACAGGCCTCAGCAATTCTGTGGGGATGGTATGAACACCTGGAACCATGTTGCTTGACCACGTAACTTCTTCCTGAAAGATGGCAGATTCTATTTCTGCTTCCTTTTCCTTATCATCCAGAGGAAACTTGGCCTCTTTCTTCTGTTATACTCTTACCATCTGTTGTTGAAACCTTGTTGGTCAGACACATCTTTACCTTGTTTGTTTTAATGATGCTTTTAAGAGCAGTAAATGATGTATGAATGCTTTTTGACTTGCACAAAGTATTCTGGTGTAGCCCTTCATGCAATCCTCATCCAGCTGCTTGCAACATTGGTCCCAGTAAAATTTATATTTCGTTGTTGTTTTTTGGAAATTTACAATCTCCTTGCTCCCTCCTGTCTGGCTGGCTGCTTTTCTTCACTCACCTATTCTGATGGTTTCATATGAAAACCAATTGTCCTTTTTCTCTGGCTTCTATTATGGCATATTTTCAATTGCTGATTCAATGATGGCTGATTTTTTTTGCCACAGTGCATTGGGAATTTTCTAAGCAGTGTCCAACAGTTAAGACATATTTTTCAGTCCAGTGGCATACTGTACATGAAAGGTATTTGGGTGATATCAAACTTTTGGGATAGTGATATCTTTTTGATATCACATAGTTAACTCTGACTTTAGCCGCCAACAATTTTAATATGAACTACAATGGGCACAAGATAATATTGACAGCGACGACTAAAATGTACTGTTGATGGCTTCATAGGACATAATTGATCTTGTTATGGTGCAATTTATTTGATGAGGTCCAAATGTAAAATTTGTGACAAAATTAATGCAAACAAAACTAATGCAATCACCTGTATCATTCATATCCCCAAGTCCAAAGCTTCTAGTAATTCATGTTTCCGCTTGGCTGCCAACCTTTGCATTAAAATCACCCATGTAAAAACCCATGTATCTAAACAATATTCTTTTTGAGAATATTGCTTCAGGGTTTCTCCGATGCTAGCTTAGAAAATTTCTATTTCAAGCTCTGCTGCATTAATCGTTGGGTGTAGACTTGGACAACTGTGATATCTAGTAGCTTGACACAGATTTGGTTGTTATAATCATTAACCACTGACAAGTTTTCCATTGCTGCAAGAAGTTTCTTCTTGTGATAAATACCACTTCATTCATTTATCTGGTGTCATGTCTAAGTCAATTCCTCAAGATAATGAATTCCTCAAACTGGAAATAACCGTCGTCTATCCAGTATAGTTCAACTGACACCAAAGAGTCTGATTTTCAACCTAGCCATTTCAGATTGCTGTCATAGGCTTGTATTTCCAGCCCTGAAAAAAAATCTAATTATTTTTATAATAATGCAGCTCCCTCTTGCTCTGAAATAAAAGAGTGTGTATGGAGATGAATATAGATTGCACCTGACGAGTAATGACTTCCATGAATCACTGGAAAAAGAGAGGCAATGAACTAAAAATAGTTTAAAATTATCCTACATCATTTTCTTAAAGAATTCTTATTTTCAAAAACAGAATAACAATGCAGCAAGAAACCAGAAATTGACAGAAATATATTCTTGCCAAATGTGAGAACGTTATTTGCTCCATGAAATCAGAAGAGTTATGTTTATTAGAATTGTAAATATAGTTAACATTACCACAGCTCTTCTAAAATATAGGAATGTTTTTGTGAAATGCTCCAGCACAGCAGAATAACAAGTTGCTTTTTCACGTTCTTTAACAGGAATATAACCTTGAGTCAGTCGAGGAGTGTCTCTATCACTCAATTTAGAACTACGATCAGGAGAAAAAACGGGTTCTAAAATAAAAACAAAAAAATGATTGAGTTTAACTAACAGCAATTCACAAAGTAATTGTAAAAAAAAACAAACAGATTCTAAATTTCTTAAGAGAACAAAGTCTATACAATGAGTCTTTAGTTATACTAGTTTATTAAAATAATATTTTTTCAAAAATAAAGGAAAATGCCACAGAACATTCTATATGTACTTAATCTCTTGTAAGGTAGGGTTTTAAGTAAATAAGCATCACACCCTCATCTCCAATCAATATGTTTTAATCAGTGAAAGATGGTTCTTGGTACAATCTGAGTTAGTCACTTCACTTTATTGGAGAATATATTCCTCACTCTGCTTTCCAGAAAAAATATGTATCAAATGCTATAGAGCAGCAGCCCCCCAACGTTTTGGGCACCAGAGACTGGTTCCTTGAGAGAGATTTTTAAATGGACTGGAGGAGGCGTGGTTTCGCATACTGCCTGAATCCCGCGGATGGGGCTTTGTTTGCATGGCCCACTTTCTGGCATGCGACAGTCCAGTGCCAGTCCATAGACTAGGGATTGGGACCCTTGCTATAGTGCATGTTACATTTCTTTGGTTACTCAATTCAAGAAAAATAAATAAAATAAGCATGGCAGGGCACATATAACAAATATTTTACTTGACTTGTTCAGATGATAATAGGAAAATTATTAACTTTTTTATAATGTTTATAACAGCTATCTAAATCCACATTACCAAGGAAAACCAACTGGTTTCCTTACCAGTTGCTATGAGATTATTCTTCCTTTTAAAGTTTGTATATTGTCTTCCTTTACATGAAAATTACCATTTCCCATGGATTATTGACAACTACTCTGGTTTTGATATTTTATCAATCCATAAACTTTGTTGTATCCATATGAGACATACTTTTTTCAAGGTCTACAGATAGAGCACTTGGCAATATGTAGTGAAAGCTACATTAAGTGAGCTATTATTAAGTGAGTTAATAAATTATACTTTTTTGAAAGTAGATGCCTAATTTGTAAGGATATGATAAATTCAAAAATTGTCAAGTACCCGACATGCATGTGGCAACCCACCTGAATCTTGGCCTGAAGCTGAGAGTTGGGTCAATTCACTGGATTCGCTCATGGCATCAATTTCAGGGGAGAGACAATTATTGTGGTCATGTATGCTTGAGCTGGAAACAGTGTCTGGAGAAATACTTTGTAATGTAGGGCTAGAAGCAGGCAAGGAAAGCCCATTGTCGAAGGCAGGGGAAGTAGGGTCAGGGGTGTCTGAGCAAAGAAGAGCAAGGAAGGTTATATTCATTGCAGATGAGCTGTTGGCAGCAGAATATTCAGGGAAAGAATTTCTACAGAAATTTGTAACTGCTCCCAACCTAACAAAAGATCAAACTATGAAAAAATCTGAATAAATGTTTTACAGCATTTTTCTGGTAGCTAGTCAGGAGCTACTGTGCTTGATTACTTAACTGATGCTAGTAATAAAGAAGATTGATGGTGCAAGAAGAATTAGCAGTGATACATTATATTGTTGCTGTAAAATGATATGGAATAGCCATTCTATTTAAAGATGTGTAGGAAAAAAATCACAAAGTCTTGTTTCCATTTCCATTAATTCAGGGAATTCCTGAAATGTCTTAAGAAGAAAACGCATGCAGTACTCAAAAGTAAAAACTGAGGAAAGTACATTTAAATAAGAATTGCTGTAATGTTTTCAGGGTAAGCAGTTGCCATGATCAATCATGCCTCAATATGAACTGTATTTGTTCTACAGAAGTATCTTTAAGTCAATGAATTCTTTTGAAACATAACTTCCAAGACTTGCTGTATTAACAATGTAATTGTCTACACCCAAACATAAGCAATAAACAAAATTGCAATAGATCCATGTAAGTTATATTCTTTGGAATCAATTATAAGATGTTTGCCCTGGAATTTATAGATGCTCTGAAGAATTCATCAGCCATTTTTTGAAGTTGAGTATCAAGGAGGCCTGATTTATGCTAAGCCATGTGACTCTCTCAGCTTCCTAAGAGAAAATAATGTCTGACATCTACCTCACAACACCAAACCCATATAAGAGAATGCTATAAATCACAGACTCCACAGATTAGCAAACCAACACAGATAGACCATTATAAATTGCTGATTTCTTACTAGACTTATACTGCAGGCTGTTCTAGGCAACAACAAAATTTAAGGTTCAAGTAAAAAATAACCAAAGTTATATTCAATGGACATAATTATAATGCTTTTGAAAGAGAAGTCAACAATGTGGTTAACCGTAAGACTAGTTGTATTATCACTCCCTGCATTCCATACATACAAATATTAATTTACAGATACTGAGTTTGAAAAGATGTTGCACTAGACAGAAGAAATGGCAGAATTAAAAATAAATGTTTAATCTGGGAAAAAAGAATACTGAAATAGAATAAAAGAGTGAGAAGGGGAAAAAACACATTTACCTATCCCATAGGGACAGACAAGATCTTTTAAACATATATAACTGAGGAAAGACTCATTCTAAAAACAGCACAACTACTGTTTAAGGAATTATGGAAATCTTTATGATATATCTTATTAAACATTCACTGCACCAATTCTCATTTTAAAGATTTGACTATAATAACTCTGGTTTTTAAGATGCAATACTGTTATCTATTCCCTGATAAATAAGAGTCTTGTTTGTGGCAATGCAGATTAAGATCAAATGGCCATCTAGAATAAAATAACTACTAGAGAGGCAGAAACAGTAAAGTTTCTATAGTGAGCCCAAGGCAGATAATTGGAAAGAATCAACAACCAAAAACCATTAAAATCCCAGAAGCAGAAAATGTAGCAAAATAGAAAACAGAGAGAGAGAAAAAGAAGAAAATAAAATGATGACTCAAAATATAATGCATATCTAGGACAAAGAATCCAGGAACAAATACACAAGATACAAGTAAGACTATAGAAGATAAAATGTATAAATGTATGGTTAGACTTTAGATAACAATAGATTGGCTATGAAAGAGAAAACACACACACTAGAAATGTTCCTTAAGTAATCAGAAAGTCAACTATATCAACATAGTCAAATAGTATAATTATCTATGCATACTGACAAACCAGATTTAAAGCATTTTCAGACACTTCCAAAATTAGAATTCAGTGATTACCCCAGAAGCATTTAGTGTTAATGGATTATGTGCTCCACTGACTCAAACCTCAAACCACTCAAAAAAAAATTTAATTATTCCAAAAGTCAACATGCACCAATACCAATGTTACTGTTCCCTGTCTTAAAGTTCTGGAACCAAGGATCCAAAAGGATTACTGTGGCTAGCTTAATGTATTTTAATAAATAACTGCATAAAACACAATAATTGAAAATTCATGTTTTATTAACTATAGTATTACCAGTTTTTTTACTGATTTTTCCTGACAATGTTCTTTTAAAAGACAGATGTTTAATATCTGTAATTTCTTCCTCTGATGCTATTATGATTGTGCCTGAATTGCTGAATGAGAATATTTCAGGGTTGACATCATGATAACTGCAAACAAAAACATAAACAAATAACAAGCACATACTTAATAATTGAAATGTAGTAATATTACAACATTATTATTATACAGTCTTGATGCAGAATACTTCATCTAAAGCATGGGTGTCAAACTCACTACATCACATTACCATCACATGATGTTTCATCACAGTTTTCCCATTCGCAGAGCTGGGGTGGGCATGGCCTGTGCATGACACCCCTGATCTAAAGACATGTTAACAATCCTGTGGATACTCTAAAGCAGGGGTGTCAAAATCATGTCGTCACAGCATCATCACGTGACATATCATGACTTTTTCCACTTCGCTAAACCGGGCATGGCGTGGCCAGCACATGATGTATCCAGCCCACAGGCCACAAGTTTGACACCCCTGGTCTAAAGTATGGCAACAATAGGATAAGCCTAGACTATATTAGTTAACATTCTTTCTTTTTCTTCATTTGTGTCAGAAGTTAACATTCTGAACTGCACTTTTTAACAGCCAGGTAACTGCAACCAACTCTTATTAAATAATTTAAATGAAAGTTTTCTAGTAAATGAAAGTTTTCTAGTATTTAAATTCTCAATATAAGCAAGACAAATTTCAAATCTGAATCAACTTTCTGTTGATTTATTGTATATAGAAAAATACGAGTTTCTTTGTTACAAAGGATGTAATAGCTGTTATAATAATGGTAATATTTATTTTTGATCAAAGACCAGTACAGAAAAGGTTGCATAAATAATCTATATTGTTTTAATTAAGTTATAATTGACTCTTATTTTGATGGACTAATCAAGGGAGGCTGGCATTAGTCACAAATTTATTTTAAATTGAAAAGCAAATCATGTCAAGGACATTTACATCATTTGTATGATGTCATTGCACAAATATTACAAATTACTACTTTTCATTATTTGACATCATTTTCATGGTGCCATCATTACACAAATAATATAATCTGCCAATACTCAAACCATCAGACAACCACTGGAAACACTGAAAACTGGACAGAACCTATGGAAAAATTCTCTGTTTAGCTGAGTTGATTGTTGCTCTCAATGAGCTATCCAGATTCTATTGAAACGTCCATGAAGAGAATCTAGTTCCACAATGTCAAAGTCATGAACTGACTATAGCTGTGCTAATAATAACACCTGTTATCTTACACAAAGGCTAAAGAGTTGCTTCACAAGGTCTTTCAAGGACTTTTTTCTGAAAATCTCAGCCTTACTGATCAGGTATGCCACACCTGCTTCAAGTGTAAATCTAAAATATGGCTTCAGCAAAGAACATTAAAGGATGTGAGTATCCATAGTGGGTGGGAATTTGCTTCCATAACTCAAGTATTTCCAAATGGCTCTTCTCTGTAGATTCAAAGTTCTCTTTGCAATGCTTTAGTTTCTTAGAAATTAACCTGGGTTTCTTTGAGACTTCCTAGAGCAGGGCTGTCAAACTTAGATCTCGTTAATTTCTAATCTTCCCTTAGTAATGCTTAAATTAGGCAACTCTGGGGACGGAGGAGGAGAGAGAGGCTGTAGAGTTATAAAAGTTGCCCAATGAAAGCAATTTCTTTGTGAATCAGACTCAGGAGATCATTCCTGTCATTTGGATTGACTGAGCCAATGGGGAAAGACTCTTAGTATTGCAAATAATTAATGAGAACAATTAAAATAAAAATTATGTTTGTTTTGGTCTAGGCACTGCCTTTGATGTCTTTGGTATCCTGGTTTGATATCTGTCCTAGAAATTTTAAATAAGCCAGCAACACAAGAGTTTTAGAATATACGTAAAACACATTTTTTGAAATAAGAGGCTGACACAGTTAAATTGCCCCAATAGTTATTCTTTTCACTTTTTACCTGTCTGGACTTTGTACAAAATTTTCAGTATTACAGAGTTCCTGTGCACGTTTTTTAAACAAACTAAAATGAACAATTGCCAGGTAAATGTTAAGCTGAGCTCGCCATGGCATTTCTTCATTATATAACCGACGAAATCTTCTTCGCCTTATGTAGACATCAGAACATATATTTAGCTTAATTATCAGGATTTCAAAAGCAATTTTTCTTTTTTCTTCTATTTGTTTCCTAAATAAAAGCATAGGGACAGTACCTTGAATGATAAACAATCATAGGAGAGAAACATATTTTAAGACTATAGAAACAATTACATTCTTGATACATATGGATATGGACATTGATTTATTTCTTTGAAACTTACTTCTTTGTAGATATCTACACCTACAAAGAAATAAGTTTCATCACATTAATAAATTAAGTTTCATTAATTTAGTCTAAAGAATGCATATGCAGCAGAAATGAACAACTTCTAGAAGAGGGACCAGCTTATTCCCCAGACTAGATCTAGGGGGACATATATTTATAAAGCCTTCATCATGCACATTATGAAGTTTCTAGTTTGTAATTTGTTCAAGGCACAAGGGCCTCTTTAAAGCAATAATTTCTGTTAAACTGACTTTGCTTACCTTTTGCTTTTCATGTAGTAAAGTTATGGAATAGCCAAATCTCCATAAGTTCATCATTTCAAATATTATCTAACAATTAACATTACTCCATTCTTTCCTATTATTTTCAATACTAAATAATTTTCTATATGTAAATAGCCACTTTGGTGTAGTAGTTAAGGTACCAAGGTATAAATCAAGAGACTGTGACTTCTATTTCTGATTTAGGCATGAATCCAGCTGGGTGACCTTGGGCCAGTCACTCTCTCAGAGCCCTGGGAAACAAGCAATGGCAAACCACTTCTAAAAACTTATCAAGAAAATTATCTTGTCCAGGCAATCAACAGAGTCAATATTGATTCAAAGGTATAGGCACACACACACACAAAAATAGCATACACATACACTTGTGCTCATACCCTGGCAGAATTTATGATTTCTTGGCCATTTTTCAGAGAATATAAATGATAACACAAAAACTTTTCTGTGACTCATGGTTAGTGTATGCCCGAAGCCATTTATTATCAATCAATTGTGTTTACTCTTTTTAAATCATAATGACAACAGAAACTACCCAAATGACCCTGATCAAAAGTTTACATACCCTGGTGATTTTGGCCTGATAACATGCACACAGGTTGGCACAAAGGGGTTTGAATGGCTATTAAAGGTAACCATCCTCACCTGTGATCTGTTTGCTTGTAATTAGTGTGTGTGTATAAAAGGTCAATGAGTTCCTAGACTCCTGACAGACCCTTGGATCTTTCATCCAGTGCTGCACTGACGTTTCTGGCTTCTGAGTCATGGGGAAAGAATTGTCAAAGGATCTACGGGAAAAGGTAGCTGAACTGTATAAAACAGGAAAGGGATATAAAAAGATATCCAAGGAATTGAGAATGCCAATGAGCAGTGTTCAAACACTAATCAAGAAGTGGAAAATGAGGGGTTCTGTTGAAACCAAACCACGGTCAGGTAGACCAACTAAAATTTCAGCCACAACTGCCAGGAAAATTGTTTGGGGTGCAAAAAAAAAACAACCCAAAAATAACTTCAGGTGAAATACAGGACTCTCTGAAAACATGTGGTGTGGCTGTTTCAAGATGCACAATAAGAAGGCACTGGAAGAAAGATGGGCTGCATGGTAGAATTGCCAGAAGAAAGCCATTACTACGCAAATGCCACAAAGTATCCCACTTACAATACGCCAACCAGCACAGAGATAAGCCTCAAACCTTCTGGCACAAAGTCATTTGGAATGATGACACCAAAATTTAGCTTTTTGGCCACAACTATAAACACTACAGTTGGAGAGGAATCAACAAGCCCTATGATGAAAAGCACACCATTCCTTCTGTGAAACACGGAGGTGGATCGCTGATGTTTTGGGGGGGGGGGGGAGTTACAAAGGCACATGAAAGTTGGTCAGAATTGATGGCAAGATGAATGCAGTCTGTTATCAAAAGATACTGGAGGAAAATTTGCATTCATCAGCCCGGAAGCTGCGCATGGGACGTACTTGGACATTCCAACATGACAATGATCCGAAACACAAGGCCAAGTCGAACTGTCATTGGCTACAGCAGAATAAAGTGAAGGTTCTAGAGTGGCCATCTCAGTCTCCTGACCTCACTATCATTGAGCCACGCTGAGGAGATCTCAAATGTGCATTTCATGCAAAACAACTCAAGAATTTACAGGAACTGGAGGCTTTTTGCCAGAAAGAATGGGCAGTTTTACCATCTGAGAAGATAAAGAGCCTCATCCACACATACCACAAAAGACTTCAAGCTGTCATTGATGTTAAAGGGGGCAATACACTGTATTAAGAACTGGGGTATGTAAACTTTTGATCAGGGTCATTTGGGTAGTTTCTGTTGTCATTATGATTTAAAAAGAGTAAATACAGTTGATTAATAATAAATGGCTTCAGCCAACCACTAACCATGAGTGAAATAAAAGGTTTTGTGTTATAATTCATATTCTCTGAAATATGGCCAAGAAATCATAAATTCTGCCAGGGTATGTAAACTTATGAGCACAACTGTATACTCTCTCATGTCCTGATATGCTGCCTTATGGCAATGAGGGTGTGGGATCGTGTTCCTGATATGGAAGAACTAAGAATTCCAGGAATATAAGCCAAAGTACATACTCCCCACAGGGGAATCTAAGCCTGAAGGTTATCCCCATGTACCCAACAGGCACCTATATCAGATAACAGTGATAAGGAAAATGCTGGATGTTGGTGATCACTTTAGTGACAACAGCAAAAACATCAATTCACAGTATGTGGGAGAATGCAGTTGTAAACAAGTCCTGGATTTTACATAAAAACCCCACATGGATAGACAAGATAAACTGATTAATAATACAGTGCTAAGTGATGCCCCTTCAGGCTTAGTGGCACTTAATATGCTACTGAGAAAAGAGCTGAGGATCTTTAGGGCAACTAATGATGTTTATGAAGCAACTAAATTAAATCCTTTGAGACACCTAGCTTCTGCTGTTGCCTTGAAGGAAAAGAAAATCCAAGCTGCCAAGACAGAATTACAGTGGGAATATGGAATGTAAAACATGAATACAGACAGGTTCAACAGTGAAAGGTGAAATGAACTTAGAGAAGTTCTAGAACGGGGTGTCAAACTCGTGGCCCGTGAGCTGGATGTGTCAGGTGCTGGCCACGCCCACCCCCATTTTAGCAAAGAGGGGAAAAGTCATGATATGTCACGTGATGACAACATGATGACACGAGTTTGACATCTCTGTTCTAGAAGAACCTAGAGAATATAATGCACTGGGATTTCAACAGAAAAATCATACTGTTAGCAATTCAGAACATGGAAAACAAAGAAGGAATAGTATTGCTTTCAGCGTCAGGAAATATATACAGGTAGTCCCTAAATTATGATGAGTCACTTAGTGACAGTTCAAAGTTATGACAGACCTCTGCAGGAGTATTTATGACCTGGTTCTGAAATACAACAGCCAGGGGTACATTTTGCAATCATGTGTACTGTATTTTGGGCACCTGGAAACCAGATCACATTTATTGCTATTTATAGCATCCCACAGACACATGAGACATTTTATGACATTTTTTCAAAAAAATGGCATTTATTTCCATTTGGGGGCAAAACCAGTCTCTAGCGATCAATTGGTTCATTTTAAAGACCACAGCATCACTTAATGATAATATCAATTAGATTCTCAGACACCTTTTAATATAATTGCTATCCAAGTATAATGATCAGCATTCACCACTGATGAGGAATAAGAGGAAATAAACAGAACATGCAAGCAAGATTCTAATGGTTAGAGACTGGAATCACAAAATTGGAGACAATGAGGAAAATTCACAGGTTGTTTTTGATGGGGAAAATGGAATTCACCTAAGGTCACCCTGCAAACTAGAACTCATGATCCTTCAGTTTTAGCCTGGTGTCTCAATCATTTTACTATATGGGCGGAGATGGATTTTGATTTCCCAGGCTATGGTTAATGTCCCAAAGACACCACCATCCCCAGCCAGCAAGATTCTGTACCTCTGGGAGGACTACAACCTGGGTCCATCGATTTACACATTACATCAAATTTACTTCCATATTTAATGGTAATATGTCATAAATTCCTAAACATAAATACCATTGTAATTCATAGGAAAAAAAAATACATAAACTACCGTTTTCCACCAGGTGTTTTAACCTGGCCTGGTTGTTTAGCCAGACCTTTCTTCTTGGAACCTTTCTTCTTGGGTGTTAAATCGATAACCTATATAAAGAAATCATGATAATTATAAATGTTCAAAACACTAATTTCAGTTATCCAGAGCTCAGTAAGAGCTCAAACAACAAATCTGCATTCATTTTATCTCAAATAAATCTTAGTAACAGCTTCATAAAATAAAACAAATTCTGTTCTAATAATAATGAACAATCATAATGAATTGTAATAAGATTGGAAACATGCAAGTTTTATAAATACATATATATGTGCAAACATAGTAATAAGATTTTTTTTCTCTCCTGCATAATTTTTTTTTCTGGAGAATCTATTTCTAACCTGGTGATTTAAAGTCTTCCAACAATTACAATTGTAATTAAATCCATCTATCCTGTTACTAGTCATTCTCTTCTTTCCTTCTACCTTTCCCAGCATTATAGACTTCAGACAACTAAGTCTTCATATGAAATGGGTCCAGATTATAATTTGAGCCTAGCATGATTCAAATCTCTGTAGATATCAATACAGCACATGCCAACTTCTTTTTGGTATTCTTTCGGTTTCTCAATTATCCAGTGTGCATCAGCAACAATGTTTCACTTTCCTTTCACTGTTCTAAAACCAGTTTGAACATCTAGCATCTCCCTCCCACGCAAGACTCTAATTTTTGTTATGTGACAATAAGCATTAGTTTGCTGTAAGTTTAATTTGCTAGTGTGAAATCAATAATATTTTACACAATTTATTAAAATGTCTTCTGAATTTTGGCTGTTCATGTTGTTCATTTGAGTACATACTTTTAAGAATTACTAAGGACCAGATGGTTTTTATTATATCCTGATACATAAAACCATAGAACTCAAAGAAGGTATATTTTCCTTCTCACATGACTGTCTATGTAAGATCCTAGGATATTCTTCCCACAGGCCATTATAGAAAGAAACTTGTACAGAAGAAGTGGCTGGAAAATGAAAATTCTTCCTTCACATGACTATAAAAGCAGAGCTGAAATACGCTGGGAAATTGTTAACATTTTCCCACCAATTAGTATTTTTAAGGGAAACCAAGCTTCTGATAAAATAGATCCACAATTTTTGTCAAAGAAACAGGAATCTCCATTCTCTGCTTTATTTGTCAGCAATTAACAAACAAAATTCAAATAAAAGCCAGAATGGCTGGAGAAAAAGATTGCTAACAGTTTGGTTACTGTTGGCAAACACCCTGATGGAGCTGGAAATATTTGAAACTAGAATATATTAGTTTGTCTAAATGAGATAAATGACATAAGGCAGGCAAGGAAATGACAAGGCACAGGAGAAAAGCTGAATTATCATAGAGTGACAGAAAGAAGTAAAGTCAGCTGACTTCTAAGCATTTCATCATTGCTGAATGTCTCAACGAGAGAAATGCAGATCTTCCATTCATTGCGGCACATTTGGCCAAAAAAGGCTCTGTAAAAAGATTTTGAAAGTTAAAGTGGTTCAGAAAGAAAGAGACAAAACTGTACAGCATGTAAAAGAAACAGTGGCAGAAATAAAAACAGAATCTATGTCAGGTGTGTCAAACTGGCCACCCGTGGATTGGATGTGTCATGCACAGGTCATGCCCACCCCAGCTCTGCGAAGGGGGAAAATGTTGCAAAATGACAAGTGCTGGCAAGTTTGACACCCATGTTCTATGTGATCTGAACTCAGTCTGAAAAAATGAAAAGAAGTTGTTAAAATCTCGTAGGTAAGAATAGACTTAAAGGAAAATATTTGGGGTTTAGACCAGGTTAAATACAAGGAAGGATTAACACGCTAACCTAGTAAAACTTAAGTATTATGCATGTGCCTCTAAATCAATATATGGAATACCCGTTCTGAACCATCTGAAAAAAAAAATCTCTGACTACTTTCATGCTTAATTATTAGTCTGTAGCTCAGGCTGTTAAATATCCTTATTATTTGATATAAATTCTTGTTGAGATATCTTCTCAATCATCAAAGCTATAATCTTACTGTTCAGTTTAATTTAGAACTGCATTTCCATAACTTATATTGTGTACAATTATAAAATGCATTCGTGCATATGGCCTAATTTGCATCTTCCCAACATCCAAGCCGTGTTATGTCAGCACAAATACCACATATATAAATGTACCTTCATATACCTTACATGAGTCAAAAAATAGATATAGAATATAGAAGACATTGTACATGAGATTATTTTATATAGTTTTCTATTTTCATTGGTAGAGTGGATTGTTAACAGTTATAATTTTTGACTTCAGAATTTGATTTTATACTCAACTATGACAAGACTATAATTCTTACTTACTGAATTTTTATTCAGATAGCTAACAGATCCCAAAATCTTTTTAAAAAAATAAATTAACCTTTGAAACTTCTTGTGTTATGGTCTTCTTTGTTTCTGCAGATCCACGAACTTTCTTCTTCTTTTTTGTAATTTGTTTGATACCAAGAAGGAATCTATTCCGCCTAGTAAACAAAAACATCTAATATTACTATGTTAGTTTTTTTTCAAAAAGTAGCAGCAGCTTTGAATATTTATTTTTTATATTTATAGCATTATTTCTCTCTCTCTCACACACACACACACACACACACATACACATACACACATGGGTTTCTTTAGATGAAGAAAGTCTGAATGTTCTGTGCTTCAAAACATTTTAGTCTGATTTCATCACAGAAAAGGTAGAGAGGGAGTTAAGAATGAGAAATAAGAAAAAACATATACAATAAGAAGCCACTAAGATATTTATTTGTCTAATGATTACTGCTATAATAATTAATGTCCATTACAAATTCTGGAAGTATGTCTAAGCAGCCGTATTAATATTAAAAGATATTATGGTATAATCAAAGGAAAATCAACTATCATTGCAGCTATAGTTTCTGTAACTGCATGGCCATAACACTGACTGAATTTTGTCAATTCAAAATATACCTACTTTTTAAGATATTCTTGAACATCATCAGACCACTCCAGTATTCGCAACAATTTATCCTCATTTAGGGCTCTGAATACAAGCATAACAAAATATTCAAGGAAACGAGAGTTCTTCTTAAATTTCAGTACTGTGTAAATGTAAAATAAGTGTAGTTATTCCATGCCATTATATGTTTAGTACTTTCAGTTTTTAATTACTATTCTTTATAGAAGATTCCATTAATCAAACTAATTTGTATCACTTTAAAAGGAATTAACATCTGAAAATAGATTTCTAACATTTAAAATTTAATCTACATCCAAAACAAAAATTAAAGCTTAACATTAAAAAATAAAATAAAATAATGCTTGTTATAGAGAAATGTCTTTATGGTTAAAATTTAAACCACTAAAATTATTTCATATATTTTAATGATGACAACTATTCATGTTTGACATATTCCTGCATTGTGGAATGTGGCAAATTTTTGCTAGTTAAGGAAAGATGTTGTCCTGATTTTAAAAATGTAAGTTTGCACGGTCAGGCAGAAATCAAAGTTTAAAAAAATAGAATCTAAAGACCACATTAGCAGTGATTAAGGGTAGTGAAGTACAGAAACACAATGCATCTAATTCCTTTCTAGACTAATCATAGGAAAGTAAATTGTTTTGAAAATTGAAAGCAAATCAACAAAAAGTCATCATCAAATCGCACAGGCAATTACTGCAATATACTGCTAATTACTCTGTCCTAGATCTTCAGAAGTTATATTTCATTGCTAATATGGCAATTAGGGTTTAGACTGATTTCTAAAAGTGAATAGCAAATGATATCATTCTAACTTTAGTTATATTCCTATAACAATTTATTTATTTATTTGATTTATTTGATTTGTCAATCGCTTACAAGATAATAGGTATAAGTATACACATAGTTATGAATACATGAAATGGGTACATATAAGAAAAATAAAAGAAACAATAGGACAGGGACGGTAGACACGTTGGTGCGCTTATGCACGCACCCTACAGACCTCTTAGAAAAGGGGTGAGGTCAATAGTAGACAGTTTAAGGTTAAAGTTTTTGGGTTTGGGGAAGAAACCACAGAGTCAGGTAGAGTATTCCAGACATTGACCACTCTGTTGCTGAAGTCGTATTTCCTACAATCAAGTTTGGTGCGGTTAACCTTGAGTTTGTATCTATTGTGTGCTCTTGTGTTGTTATGGTTGAAGCTGAAGTATTCATTGACAGGTAAGTCATTGCAATGTATGATTTTATATACCACACTTAGATCAGATCGAAGATGGCATAATTCAAGGTTTTCTAGGTCTAGAATTTCAAGTCTGGTGCCATAAGGTATTCTACAACGAGTACAGGAGTGGAGAACTCTTCTTGTGAAATATTTCTAGACTTTCTCAACTGTGTTAATATCAGATACGTAATGTGGGTTCCAGACTGATGAGCTGTATTCGAGTATTGGTCTAGCAAATGTTTTGTATGCTCTAGTTAGTAGTGTGATATTACCAGAGAAAAAGCTACGTAGGATTAGGTTAACAACTCTTAGTGCCTTTTTGGCTATGTAGTTACAGTGGGCTCTAGCACTTAGATCATTAGAGATGAGTATTCCAAGGTCCTTTATAGAGCTTGGATCATCAACAAGGTCTTGACTATTCAGCTTGTATTTTATTTTCTGATTTTTTTTGCTAATATGTAAGACAGAACATTTATTTGTTGAGATTTGAAGTTGCCATTTGTTTGACCATTCTGATACATAGTCAAGATTTTTTTAAGGGTAGCAGTATTGTCTGTGGTATTGAACACCTTTACATCATCAGCGAAGAGAATGTAGTTGCTCTTAATATGATCACAGAGGTCATTTATGTAGAGTATGAAGAGAGTTGGTCCTCAAATACTGCCTTGGGCAGGGGTCCCCAACCACCGGGCCCCGGACCAGTACCAGTCCGTGGAACATTTTCTACCGGGCCGCCGGTTTGCTGGCGCCACCATCTTGTTTCGATGAGAAAGTGCTTCCGGGTGAGCTTTTCCGGTTGGAAAGCGGCGTTTGGGTCCTAAAGGAATCCTCGCGCCTTAGTTTCATCAAAGGGGGGGGCGGCTTCGAACGAAACTAAGGCGCGAGGATTCTTTCAGCACCCAAGGCAAGGCGAGCCGAGCGACCGTCCCAAAGCCTTCCCAAAGCCCATCGACAAAGGTACAAAGGAGGAGTTGAAGGTGGCGGGGAGAAGCGGGGGACGGCTGGCTGGCCGGTGTCTTGTCATGCGTGCTGATGCTGGTACCGGGCCGCGGATCATTTTGTGATGCTGGTACCGGGCCGTGGCACAAAAAAGGTTGGGGGCCACTGGCCTTGGGGGACACCACTATTGACAGGTACAGAATTTGATAGGACGCTCCCAATTCTGACCATTTGTTGTCTGTTTGACAGGAATGCTTCTATCCAGTTATGCAGTTGTCCAGAGATACCATAAGATTTTAGTTTTAGGAGTAGTTTGTTGTGTACCACTGAAACAAAGGCTTTACAGAAGTCTATGTAGATTGTGTCTATTGTTTTGCCCTGATCGACTTGTGTAGTCCCTATGTTTTTGCAGTGTAAGAGTTGCAGATTACAGGATAGTTTTTTTCTGAAACAAAATTGTTTATTGGAGAGTAGGTTGTTTGTCTCTAAGTGGAGGATAATGGATTGGTTAATAATTGATTCCATGACTTTACAGGTGATGCAGCATAAGGAGATTGGTCTGTAATTTTCAACTAGTCTGGGGTCTCCCTTTTTGAAGATGGGGATGACTGTGGCTTGTGACCATAGGTTAGGAAAGGAGCTGGTCCTGAAATTTTTTTAAAGATTATGCTTAAAGGTTCTTCTATGGCAGTGGATAGCTTTTTTAAGAAGTAGGCACATATTCCGTCTGGTCCAATAGATAGAGATGGTTTTAGATTGCATAGTGCTTTTTCAACATTGTCTTCTGTAAAATCGATATGTATTAGATCATTGTAGTTGTTTTTGGTTCGACTAGGAAATACTAGGCATGATCCATTGCTGTTTACAAATACTGAGCCAAAGAATGTGTTAAAGAAGTTGGCTTTAATGGTCGTTGCAGTCTTTACCATTAGGTTCTATCAGGGGTGGGATGGACCTTGAGTCTTTTAGTTTGTTGTTTACAAAATTGTAAAAAGCGCGGGTGGAATTGGTGCGTAGAAGGTTTTCCTCTTGCTTACTGTGATAATTGGTGCATTCAGTCTTTATCTGGTGGCATAAATTTTTGTATCGGCTTTTGAAATTGGCAATATGACCAGATTTGTTTTTCCACAATGTAAGAATGTGCTTAAGACCTTTAATGTCCCACACAACTTTTGGAGCAAAAATTCTACCTACTCATGTATAAATTTCAATCTTACTAGACAGGCTACTATCTGAATCTATCACTTTCTGCAGAATAATTCTGATTCTCTCATAAAATATAGACTCCTACAAAGTATGTTCCAATTTAGCCAGACAACCAATGTAGCAAAAACAAAATATTTGCATTGAGGGGGTTTCTTAAAAAGAAATACACAGGCTTCTACTTAAATTTATATTCACTGCATTTTCAAATATGTACACACATAGTGGGAAAAACACCTAATATATTGATAATACACTTTAAAAATAATTACCTTCCCTATAAGCAGTCTTTGGTTGCCAATTTGTAACTACAGGATACAAGAATAAAGGATCTTCTTCTCCTGTAAGATCTTGTCCTAGTGAGAGCAGATTAGACTAAATTCAACACAACGAACAGCAGTGTACAGATACACTCAATACATTTCACAAAAAAGTGACATCACTTAAATCAGGGGTGTCAAACTTGCAGCATCACGGTGGCATCAAGTGATGTATCGGGACTTTTTTCTCCTTCACTAAGCCGGGCTTGGCCGTGGCCAGCCCATGACGCATCCAGTCCATGGGACATGAGTTTGACAGCCCTGACTTAAATAAATGTTTCTCATTTTATTAAATTTTTACTTTTCATTTGTTATATACATTTGTTCTTTTTTTCTTCAAAATTTTAAAATATAACATGAATTTTAGCCATATCATTATTAGTTTTGTGGAGCATAAAATATGTATCAAATATACATCAGTGGAAATTTAGGATCAACTCAGGGGTGCGATTCTACCAGTTCAGGCCTGTTCTATAGAACCAGTTGTTATGGTTCAGCGCAGTTTGGAGAACCGACAAATTGTGCCCCTGGCTGGCCCCGTCCCTTTCCACCCACCCTGCCCCTCCCCTCAGTTCTTATTGTGCATGCGCGACATCGTGCGTATGCCCAACATCACTGACTGCTTTCTCCCCCTCCCAGTCACTCCTTAAGGTATTTCTTTTTTCCTACCGACGATCAGCTGTTCTGGTGATCAGCTGTGCCGAGATCCTCCTAGCTGTCTTACTGCTTTGCCCAGGAGGCTTCCCTGAGGCCCAGGAGGCAAAGCAGGGTTTGCGGGGGGGAGCTGTACCCCCCGCGTTCCATTCTTTGCCTTCCTGAGCCCCAGGAAAACCTTCTCTGAGCAAAAACACCCAAGGAGGCTCCCCTGAGGCCCAGGAGGCAAAAAAATGGGAGGGGGCTGCTGCAAAAAAATAGGAAGCCACGCCCACCCAATCACATGACCATGCCTACCAGGCCATGCCCACCTGGCCACGCCCACAGAACCAGTTGTTAAAAAAATTGAATCCCACCCGGGAATCAACTAAATATGTAATAATTTTGATTAACAGGTTCTCAAAAGTTGTTGTGGAACAAGAAACAAATTATATAAAAAGCCGTTTTAATATTAGTGATCAAATATTTTAATAAACATCTTTCATTTATTAATCATCATGGTCTCTACTATAGCCAGAGTTTTTAATCAAGTTATATATCCTTTAATAGACTGGAATAGTGTTCCATTTAAATCTATTTTTTCTACACTGAAATATTCTAACATATCCAAGTTTAATTTCACTTCAGAGGAGGAGGAGAGGGAGGGAAGTGGGAAAGGAAAGGGAATTTTTGAAGTTCCCTGCCAATTGCCCACAAGGAAACTTAATGGGAAAGTTGGAAGTCACTCCCATTCCCACTGCTTTTTTATTTTGCCCATGGTCATTCTGTTTCTCTGTTTCAGTAATGAAGTATCTCTGAACGATGACCTAACCGGGGTTGAGTTGTCTAGTATTATACTAAAGTTTAGAAAGTACTTAAATAGAATCAGGATATTTAGATTATTTTGTTATCTAAATACAAAGTAAATTTCTTTGAAGATTGCAGAAATATTATATGCAGGAACATATTTTTTTCTATCTATAGAAAAAAAACAGCTTTACAGATGGACTGATTTTAAATTCCATATTTTTTTAAAAATAAGTATACCTAACATACAGTATTTAGCATATGTAATGAAATGCTTAATATGCTTAATGGGATTAACATATTTAAATATATGATTATCTAGATGATAACAATGGTATTAGGACCAAGATATACATATTAAAAATATACCTGCTTTTATCAATTTCAGAAGCATGTTTTCCAGAACTTCTAAATTCTCATTTACTTTTCCAACTCCACCCATATGTCCTCTCAGCCTTTTAGAAGGAATCTATAATAATACATTAATTTACCATTTTATATAGCACTTAGCTAGCTGCAGAATTAAAGCAAAAACATCAGCAGGTCAATAATTAACAAAACAGTAAATATTTCTATTTCACTTTAATCTAATTTCAAAACACAGCTTGTATTTGAATTTGAATTCCAGACCATATGAATTCCACATTTGAATTCCAGACCATATTATAATGAAAGCAATGATGCGCTAAGATTTAAGCCACACAGGGTTGTTGTGGTCAAATTAGAGGAGGAAGGATATCACATATGTTTGTCGTCTTGATTTATTTATAAAAAAAATTTAAAATAAAGGCAGGATAAAAAATAAATAAATAAACTAGCCCTCAATAGTAAAGTGGGATCAATAAACATAAATCTATGCCATTTATTCTGGAAACATAAATCTATGTCATGCTCTTACCTCCAATTATATATATAAGTTATTGCTATGTTGGGGTTCTGTTTACTCTATGTAAACTAGCCTTCTAGTCCTGTTCAGTCTGCATACTAATCTCATTCATTTCTCATTCCCCTCCACGAGGAGAGGGAAAACATCCATAATAAAGTCTCCCAATCACTCACTAACTGTGATTTCTAATTTTCCAGAATCTCCATTTGTTTTTTGGTTTCAGTAAGGAGCAACCCTAGCCAACCTTACAAGTGGTCCTTGTTTAACAATCATTCATTCAGTGACCACTTGAAGTCATGGCGGCACTGAAGATAGACTTTAAACTGGTCCTTGAAGTTATGGCCACGGCTCCAGCCCTGTGGTCATGTGATCAAAATTTGGGCAATTGGCAGGCAGCCAGCAATTATCACTACAGGGGCACCTCAACTCACTCCATCTGCCTATTTTCCCCCATCTGTGTCCTTTTGGCCCCTTGCACTCCATAGATTCTGATATCCTAGTTGATTTCTGCCACCTTCTTTCTTCCACTGCTGACCAAGCATGTCTGGCCCTTTGTGACGCAGCTGCCAGCAACACGAGGCTTTCTTCCCCAGGTTGCACACAATGGCTTCTTTGCAAGATTGAGGAAGACAGTCTCAAGTGCCTAGAAGCTTTCTTGCGAAGGGCCAGGCTGCGTGAACCCTGTCAGCAGCAGGAGCAAGAAGCTGGGGCCGTGGAGCACAGAGCAAAAGGGGCCTCAGAGTGCAGAGTGGCAAGGGTTATTATGACTGGGCTGGGGAAGCTGCAATTTCCTAGTGTAGCAAGAAACCCCTTTGAACTATTCTACTGGGCTGGGCTTTGCATTGTAGGTTATGGGCTTCTGCAGAGCTACAGCATACCAAGAAGTCCTTTTGCACCATATTGCTGGAGTGGGGCTGGTCTTTATGCTGTGCTGCAGCTTGACAGCCTTTTGCAGTTCCCGAGCTGTGGCATGACACAATGGCTGTTTGTGTTTCCCTGTGTACGACAGCTTTGTACTGTACTGCTGAGCCTTCCCAGAGTATAGCAACTTTACATTGCATTGCTAGGGCCTTCCAGAGTGCAGCAGCTTTTGCAGCCCCAGAGTTGTGATGCCCCGGGACATGGCACAAAGGCAACACAGTCAGATAAGCAATAAGAGTCCCTTTATTATCTCCAACTTGGCCTCCAATGTCCAGGTTACCTTCGGGCTGGAGAAAAACTCTCCCAGGAACAGCCTTTGAATGAAGAAAATTCAGTCCAAAACAAGGAACACACAAACTGTAACTTAAAATCCAAACAACCAAACTGAAGTAATTAGTTTGGCAGGGCAGGAGCAGGAATTTCAAACTTGAAAGCATGGTAAAACTCACATAGTTAGGAAGACGCTAGCAACATAGATAAGCCACGACAATACAAGATAAAGTCACGTTTGATCCCAACAGCCTGCTGCACGCAGCTTGCCGTTTTTATGCACTGTGTTCCCAGTTGCAGCTAATGAAGGAAATCAGGGCCCTTTCCTCCCCCGTAAGCCACACAAACCCACATTGCTCTCTTGTCCATTCCTCCCTGCATGCCCTAGGATGAAGAGGGGGTGGGCCTGGGTCTTCCTCTGAATTCCCTCTCCCTTGTTCTATCTCTCTCCTGCTCTGCCCAGCCAGACTTTGCCCTTCCCCAGTTTCTTCCACAGCCAATGGAGCCACACTCTCACTCCCTGTCAGCTGTTTGGATTCCTCCACCACGTCAGATTCCAACAGGGGCATGACAAGAGCTGCAATGGACCAAGAAGCCCACAGCTCATAGCATATTCTTTTCCTGGTCTCCCTGCACTCACGAAATATACATGCTCATCCTTTCTCCACCCTCCCTGAGCTCATGCCACATTCCCCTAACTTGCATGTTGCATGTACCAGGCCACCCAAACTGCTTCCACTTCCTTGTGGGAAACAAACTCCAAACCTGAAATTCCCTCTGCTTCCCTCATGTAGCCCATGTCTGGAGTTAAAATTGCAACTGAGATTACCAGGATTGATACTGCTAAGCAATGCAGTCATGTGATGTCTCATTTTATTATCACGTCACTTAAACGTGAAAATTCTGGTCCCAACTATGATCCTAAGAAGGACTTCCTCTATCTGACTTCCAATGCTAAATGGGATCAGATCTAGTTAATACTTGAATAGAATAGAACCCATCCCCTCCCACTTGTGATTGTAGGACTGTAACTTTGTCACTTGTATCCTTACGATTTATATTGACTCTTTCCTAGTATGATTTGATTGCTGATTGTACCCTATGACTATCATTAAGTGTTGTAAGTTATAATTCTTGATTCTTAATGAATGTATCTTTTCTTTTATGTATACTGAGAGTATTTACCCCAAGACAAATTCCTTGTGTGTCCAATCACACTTGGCCAATAAAGTATTCTATTCTGTTCTATTCTAAAAAAAAAACATCATGGAATTCCAGGCTGTAGGTTAGATTGGATAGTTAGACCATAAATTGACTGTTAGACCATTTCTACACTGTTGCTAGGAGAACTGCATGGATGAGTCTAAGTAATAAGGATCACTCAAAAGCATGTTTATCCTTTATCATTTGTCTAGAGATCTTTCATGGACAGAAGAAATTCTTCACTCCAGACATTCACCCTCTATACCAGGGGTGTCAAACTTGTGTCGTCACAGTGTCATGTGACATATTGTAACTTTTTCCCCTTTACTAAACCAGGCGTGGGCGTGGCCAGCACGTGATGCATCTGGTTCGAAGCCCGCAAGTTTGACAGTCCTGCTCTATACAATAAAGGTGGCAAGAGAGTGAGCTATTGTGCTACTCTCCTTCCTCCTTAAAATGGCTTATGTATCTATCCTGCTCCTTCTCCAACCATTTACTTTCATAATTTGCTCCTTCTATTTGGTTGCTCACTTTTAATAAGATATTCTCTTACTATATTCCTAGTAGACTTGTTCCATAGGGTTAGTTGTACTTGTTATACTTTAAATATTAACTAGGTTTAGTTAAATGGAAAATATATATCGTACAACATCCTTGTAAATCATTATGGTTTTATGTACAGCTGATGAGCCCAAAAGATGCCACCACATCAAACTATCCACATAGAGCCCTAATCCCCATTCTCAGTTTTCGGCCTTCCTCATACTACAGGACAGAAAGTAAACTATACAACAGAAGAGAGGGAGAGACAAACAGACAGACAATACAACAGCCACTTGGGTTTTGTTAACTCCTTGAAGACTTAATCAGATCACCTTTCCTTTTCATAAATCATATAAAACGAGAAATGAAATGAAAAACAAGAGCAGTTACCTCTTCTTCTAGTATTTCATCCGCTCCTTCTCCAGCTATAGCTGCTTGGGATGGTGTTTGTGAGCAATCCAACAACTTTTTTCCATAGTTAATAATGACTACTGCTAACTCATATTCTTTCCATAAGTGCAGTATCTATTAAATATATATCATTTAAGTCTATATAATATTCACAAGGTTTTTTTTAAAAAAAAAACACAAATCTTGTGCCAACTTACAAAATAAGCTTTAAATCCAAAGAAGCTATATACAGGGATGTATGGGGATAGTGATCAGGAGAATCACTGCTGCAAAAAGAACCAAAAAAGTTTCCACTTATACTTTTTTCCTTCCCAGCATATTCAAACATTATCAGATAGGTCAATTTTATGATTGAGTGCTTAGCTTCTATCTGCTCAAGCCTTGTGAAAATGTTTCCCTTCCATTTTGATCTTATTCAGCAATGAGATCTTATTCTTTCTTATTAATGGTCTGGTCCCCTAACACAGTAAGATTATAAAGTGAGGGCTCCAAATGATACTGTTTGCTAGCAATTTTGCCAATTTGAAGTCCATTCCTGCAGCATGTCAAGAGATTTCTCATATTCTCTCTCTGTTCCAGTCCTGTAGAGTTTGGTAAGAAGCCTGAGCTCTTTCCAACACTCCACAACAATACTTAACGACTACAACTCTGAGAACTGGGATTGTAGTCATTGTGCAAAGTGCTCATGTGGCATCTTGCTTAATGAACACTTCACTCAATGACAATGATTCCAGGCCCAATTGTGATCATATATTGAGAACTATCTGTATGTTGATGATAACCAGCTTAGTATAGCCACTCTGGGCTGGGCTGGAGAGGATGTGAAGATTGTTTTCCAGTGTCTGGAGCCTGAAAGTATCTGGATGGGACAGAACAAATAAATCCCAGTGAGACAGAGTTACTATTTATACTTGATGGGGCTATGTTATGCATCCAGTGTTGTTTCTTGATAGACAAGCATTACCTCTAAAAGAGCTGATCTGTGACTTTTGAGTTATCTTGGACTCCTAGCTCCTGATAAAGTAGCAGATGAAGGCCATGCCCAGAAAGACTTTTCCTAATGAACTTGCTGGGCAGTTAGTTTTATTTAGTGCAAGGGAACTTAAATGTAGTGACTTTATCACCACAAAACTGAACTTCTGCATTCTATATACAGGTGTCTTTAAAGACCACTCAGAAACTAATTGGTCCAAATGCAGTGACCTAGCTTCTGAACAGCCCCTGTATAGTGGGGAGCAGCTGGCCATAACAAAACAAAAGAGAATGAAACAGACGTATGCGCCTAGAAATAACTGCCTTACTCTAAGAACCAATAGAGGAAAAGAAGAGTATCACATCAGGTTCTGGGAAAGAATAGCTTTGGGTTTTAGAAGTGATTGGAGTCCTAGATGAGAGAGGTTACTTCGGGCAAGGCTGGCAAATGAGAGTTGTTCTATTATAAGCTAGAATTGCATTATGATTTACCTATTTTTTATTATGTATGAGTGTGGAATCTTATCTTCTTTGTTACCTTTAATAAAGTTGATTTTTTTTGAACCATGGAGTTGACCAATTGCTTTCTACCTTGGCTAAGGTATCACATCTCAAAAATTTTATTTGGTTTCCCTTCCTATAGTTTAACCAAACTTAGAGTGTGGCGTGGATTTCCCCTTCAGTCACGTCCTGGTTCCCTGAAGGGTATGTTGAGGAAGACTATAACAAATGGGTGGTAGCAGCAGCAAGGATATCTAATTTTCCAGTCACTGTTCACCTGTAGGTACAGGTTACCTCAGAAAAGAAGTATCTCAGAAGAAAGTACTGGTTTGACCCTGGCATACCTTATTACGCTTTGCCATCAGCAACATAAAATAATGATACTTCAAACCTTACACTGGTTCCTGAATAGTTTCCAGGTACAATTTAAAGTACTGATTTTAACTTAAAAAGTGTTTCATGGCTTGGCACCTAAATATTTACAGAACAACATATTTCAGCCCTCTTGGGAGTACTACTGATACCCCATTACCAAGAGGGTTGCGGAACTATTCTCAGAAGTCAATGCTTTTCTATTGTAGTGCCAATCTAATGGATCAGTTTCCCTACTGATTTATAGTTTACCAACTCCCTGACAAAATTCAGGAAAGAACTAAATCAATCAAGGGTGTCAAACTCACATCACTGTGGTGTCACGTGACATATCAGGATTATTTTCCCCTTCATTAAACTAGGCATGGCATGGCCAGCCCTTGGGCTGGGAGTTTGATAGCCCTGAAATAAACCATTTCTATGTGGCTCTTCCATAGTGTATTTATGCCATCAGTTTTGTTGTTGTTATTGTTTACTTTTTTAATTATTTTAAACTAACTATGGATGTTCTAATGTTACATTTCTTTGAATCCTGTTCCTATAGATCAGGGGTGTCAAACTCAATTTTATTGAGGGTCAAATGAGCACTGTGTTTGTCCTCTGCGGGCCAGGGGGCATATGGCCAGGAGAAGGGATGTGGCCAGAGTGGTTGCAACTGACTGGGCGTAACCAGGGCCGTGGCCTGCTTGACGTAGCACACATGGGCAGACAGCTAGAAAGGCCGAGGAGAAGTGGTAAAAGCATGCCTATTCCCAGCAGGCAAAATGCGGCCACTGCTAGCAGGGAAAGCTTGATCTGCATCAATGCTAAGGCCACCCAAGCCCAGCCAGGATCACATGCCTTCCCCCGCACTCCCATCTCTGCTTAGCCTGGGTAACCAGGGCTCCGATGGGGATCTGGCTTTCCCCACTCGCGGTGGCCTTTTTTGCTTGCTGGGCCTGAGCCTCAGCTGCTGGCGGCCTCAGTGCCGAGGTGCATTGGGTATACGAGGGGAATGCATCTTTCTAACTGGCTGCTTTGTGTTCTTCAGACTGGGTGAGTCTGCCGAGCGGTGGCGGAGTTGCCACCCAGGAGCTACCAGGAGTAGAGACTCCCGGTGATGTACCTCCTTCACCTGGACTGAAGGCAGCCTTCTATCTTGCACCACCACTCCCAGCCGCATCTCTGTTCCTAATTGAGGATTGCAGGCAAATTCCCTGCTCGGGCAGCATTCCCAGAAGACACAGCTCAGAGCACCAGGCCTACCCAGCCCGAAGGAGGCAAAAAGGCAAAGGCTGAGTAGAGGTGGTAAAGCATGCCCAGGCCCAGCAGGCAAAAAATGGCCACCGCAAGTGGGGAAGGCCAGATCCCCATGAGAGCCCTAGTTACCCAGGTCCAGCAGAGAGGGAGGGCATGCAATTCTGGCTGGGCTTGGACAGCCATAGCCTTGAGTTTGACACCCCTGCTATAGATGTTCTACTGCTCCTTATAGTGGAAGTTTTACGTTTTTGCTGTAAACCACCATGAACCAATTTATTAAAATTGGCAGTAAGTCAAATAATTAAGTATGTCACAATATATAGTAGCAGTAATCTATCTATCTATCTATCTATCTATCTATCTATCTATCTATCTATCTATCTATCTATCTATCTATC